TTGTTAACAGAGACCAAATGACAGTGACTCAAAGTAGAAGGTTTCTGTTTCTTGTATATTAAGGCCTTAGCAGTTTAGCAGTCCAGGAAGTAAAAAGTTATGCCCGTGAGTCAGCGAGAGAACAGTGTTTTTCCACCCCTGGTGTTTAAAATACTAGAGACACCTCAGTAAACAAACAGATCGAAATTGCTGCCCTCATGAGGGCTGGCCTGGGGCAGAGGTGAGGTGGGGAAGCAAACAAACATCTAAAAAGATATAGTATGTCAGAAGGTGATAATAGCCGGGAAGAAAGGTAAGGAGGGTAAGGTGTGGGCGTCAGGGGCATAGATTAAATTTACATGTGGTCAGGCTGACCTCATTAAGAGGGAGCCAATTAAGCAAAAAGTAGAAGGAAGTGAGAGTAGGCTCCAGAGATATTTGAGGGAAAGCAAGCAGAGGGGACAGCCAGTTCAAAGGCCCTGGGGCAGGCTCCTGACTGACCTGCTTGAGGAATGCAAAAGTGTGGCACGTCATATACAGAGTGAGCAAAAGAGAAGCAAGTAGAGGGCAAGACAGAGATGAGTCAGGAAACACGGGAGGGAGGGCCCCATGGCAAACATAAGGGTTTGGGCTTTTCTGGAGGGAGGTGGGAAGCCTTAGTGGAGTATGGGCCTGATGTGACTTAAAGTGGCAAACAATCACGCTGGCTTCTCCGTAAATAGACTGCAGAGGGCAAGAGTAAAAAACAGGGAGATCAGTTAGGACACTATTAAACGGTTCATGCAGAATACTCTGGAAGCCTACCCTGGGCAGGGGCAGTGAAGTTGACTTCAAGTGGGTTGAGCCAATAGGATTTGCTGACAGAGTGGGCCATGGCGTGAGAGAAAGAGAAGCGTCTAGGACAACTGTCAGCATTTTGGCTCGAGTGGCCAGAAAAATGAGGCTGAATGCATAGAGAAAACAGAAAGGCTCTTGGGGAGCAGGTTTGGGGGGGTCAAGGGTTTCATTTTTGGACGTTGTAGATGCCACATTCCTAGGACACATGTAAAGGGAGACGTCATATAGGGTTGGATGTGCGTGTCAGGAGTTCAGGGGGAGACAGGCTGGGGATAAATTGATGAGTCAGCAAAGGATAGTGTTAAAAGCCTTGTGATGAGAAATGATTATCAAGAGAATGAGAGTAGGAAGAAAGAAAAGGCAGAAAGAGGAAGAGGAGGGCAGGCCATTACTTCCATCGCCTCTGCTCGCGTCCCTTTGGCGGGAACTTAGCAACGAGTCTTTCCCCAGCTGCAAGGGAGGTTGAGGAGTGGGGTTTCTGCCCGGGGAACCAGGGGCCCGGCTGGAACCTAGGCCCTGGCTGAGGGCTCTTTCTCAACTTCCTAGATCCCCGAAAAGGCCCAAGTCCCTAGTTTCGGGCTTCACGTTGACATTTTTTCTTTACTGCTTCCCAAGCCACTCTCCAACTAGGCTTCCCCTGGTTCGGGACACCCAGTGTCCTTGGATTCCTGGGCAGGGCACTCATTGCTGTTGGCATAAGCTGGTGTTCCTCAGCCCCCTCCTCTCTTCTGATCGCAGGGCTCTCTAGAAGCCCGCGTTCCCTCGGCTGTCCGCTGTCCCCTCTGCCGCCACCTCACTCCCTGCACCTCGCCTGGCGGCACAGCCTGGCTGTCCCAGAGGCCCGTGGGCTGGCCTGCCTCCTTGCACAGAGGCCTCTTGGGAGGGGATCGTGTCAGCTTGGGAGGTTGTGGCAAGACTTCTGCTGCGATCAGTCCTCCTCTGAGGAAGGAAATTGGGCCACTGGCCCTGCACTCCCCTGAAGAGACCACACTGGTCTCCTGGGGCCAGCCGTGGAGCCCGGGGGCACTGTGCCGTCTTCACAGGGCTCTTTTTACTGCCGAAATCCTCACCAAGAGCAACACGGAGGGCCTGGAGGAGGATGATCAATGTCCGTTATCCTGAGGAATTGGATAGGGTATCTGTAACCTACCCAGTCTGCGCTATGCGGTGTCTACGGCCTGTTGGGAAGGGAGTTGCACGCTCGCTGTCCTGTCATCAACAGCGGGGAAAGGCCTGCCCCAGTGCACAGGAACTTTTTTCTAGACTTTTAAGCTAGATTCATGATATAGCAACTACTTCTTTGAGCCATTACTATGTGACAGGCATTCTGCTAGATATTTAAAATATATTTTATTTTGGCCGGGCGCGGTGGCTCACGCCTGTAATCCTAGCACTCTGGGAGGCCGAGGCAAGCAGATTGCTCGAGGTCAGGAGTTCGAGACCAGCCTGAGCAAGAGCGAGACCCCGTCTCTACTATAAATAGAAAGAAATTAATTGGCCAACTAATATATATAGAAAAAATTAGCCGGGCATGGTGGCGCGTGCCTGTAGTCCCAGCTACTCGGGAGGCTGAGGCAGGAGGATCGCTTGAGCCCAGGAGTTTGAGGTTTCTGTGAGCTAGGCTGACGCCACAGCACTCACTCCAGCCTGGGCAGCAAAGCGAGACTGTGTCTCAAAAAATAAAATAAAATAAAACATATTTTATTCTTGGCTTACTATGCAATAAATGCCATCTTCTTAGTTTTGCAGAGGGGGAACCTGAAGTTCAAAAGGGGGAAATATGCACCCCCGCTCACACAACTGGGCAACGGCAGAGTGGGGATTCTACCTCGGTGTCAGTCCAAAGCATGAGCTCCTATCCTCCAAGTTGGGAGGCCTGTTGGGCTCATGCAGGGCGAGATTCCAGTTGGTGATCAGCAACACAGTCCTGAGCGCCTGGGATTTTAATGGTCTTGGTTAGGGCTGTTCCAGGGTCCTCTCTCATCTCATGGCAGGGATGTTTTGGAGCCAATACCTTACCTTTGTTTCTCTCTCCTCAAGCCATCAGTTATTTTTCAGCAGCCTCCTGACCCGCCTTTGAGACCTGCCTACTGTAGAAAGTGATGAGTATGAAAATACTATGAGGACACTCAATGTTTCACTCACTTGAAAGGTGTGTCCTATGTGTGGTCACAAATGGAAAGATTCTTTTTGGGGAAATCTTGGCTCAAAGTGAGCAGAACATGCTGCCAGAGTGTTGTCTGAGGGAAACGACTTTTGTGAGACTCCAGACCTCGTGAAAAACTTAACTTCTCTCCAAGAGATTTAAAGGCCAGTGGAAAGTAGACAACCCACAAGAGCTATGGAGGTGATGGAGGTGGTGGAGAAGGTAGAGATGGTGCAGGGGGAGGTGATGGAGGCGGTAGTGGTGGTGGAGATGCTGCAGGTGTTTGAGACCAGCCTGAGCAAGAGCAAGAGCAAGACCCTGTCTCTATAAAAAATAGAAACATTAGCCAGGCGTGGTGGTGTGCACCCGTAGTCCCAGCGACTCAGGAGGCTGAGGCAGGAGGAACGCTTGAGCCCAGGAGTTGGAGGTTTGGAGGTTTTAGTGAGCTATGATGAAGCCATTGCACTGTAGCCTGGGTGACAGTGAGACTTTGTCTCAAAAAACAAAACAAAACAAAAAAACCCGACATGCAGCAGCATTGCTGTTGCACCACTAGTACCCCACTCAGTCTACGGTCTATATATATGAGTGCACGTGGAACAGACTTCTGTGTACGCCATATCAACTCAACCCTTAGACAGCCCAGGACGGGGCCACAGGAGGCAGGAGTGGAGAAGGGGAATCCTCCCCCGAAAGCAGATCCTCCCATCATCCCTGCCAGGACCCCTGTCCCAACCCTAGTCCCAGCCCCAATATTGGGCATTCAAATTCCCAAGCCTGTCCCATCTTTTTTGTTCGTTTATTTTTGTGGGGCAGGGGAGGGTTGCTGGATCAAATATAGGAAGATGTTCAGTTAAATGTGAATTTCAGATAAACAATGATAATCTTTTTAGTATCAGTATTTCCCATGCAATACCTATGCTAAACAAGTATTTGCTGCTTATCTGAAATTTATATGTAACTAAGTTCCTGTATTTTTATTTGCTAAGCCTGGCAGTCCTACATCTCTTCAGCCTTTTGTCCTACCTGTTCTCACCCCTACCTATTCAAGCCCACATTTTGGCACAAACACAATTCTTTAGGAATAATGACCAGTGAAGACTCCCTGATATTCCTCTGCTATTGAAGTGAATTGTTGAGTCTTCGTGAACAGAATTTCAGCGTGACACCAGGAAGCGTCGCAGATTTTGAAGCCGCTTAGCAGGTGTGGAGTCTGGGCTCTCTCCGCCTCTGAAGCCATGCCCACAGAACGAGGCTGACAACTCCTGCCCCTAATTGTCACACAGTAAGTGTGTAATAGAAGGTGGCTGAAATTTTGAAGTCCGTATCTGTTAGGGGCTCAGGGTGTGCATTTAGAGGGTGCAGGAGGAAGTCTTATTGCTCCCTATGAATAGTGAATGTATAATACACAGAAATCCTTCAAAGGACTTACGTGTATATTAGGAACTAAATAGATTTTGTGATATCCTGACCACTCAGCCTCCATGGATCGTGTAGCTTGTTGGAGAAAATGCATTTGGAATTACCCCAGGAATTAATTCTTCAACTGTACTAGTCGGGGTCAACCACTTCCTTCATGTTCTGGGAAGTTTTGGGGAAAAGGTGGAAAAAGGGGAAATGACTCATGTCACCCAACCCCAACTCCATGCCCAGCCTCACGCTGTGCACTTGGCCTGCACTTTCTCAACAGACATTATCAGCTCCATTTCATTCACAGGTATGGGACCCAGTGAAGTTAGGGATTTGCTGACGATCATGGATTTGCTAAGGAGAGGAGACGGGATTTAAACTCAGCAGGCCTCGTGGAAAAAACGTGAGGTCTGGAGGGAGGGCAGCAGGTCCTCCTGGTCTGGACTCTGGTGATCATGGCAGGCACAGGTGTCAAAGCCACCAGCCTGTGATCTTGATCCAGGATGAGAGGTATTATACCCACTAACCTCTTGGTCTTATACCAGGAAAGTGACCTGGGAGCCTCTGAGGACCAACCCACTGTTTCCCTACGCCCTCGTCCTGAAGAACAGGAGGGCAGGCGCGCAGGTGCTGAATGCGACATCCTTTATTCTGCCTGATGACCTGCAGCCCCGGGTGAGGTGTTGGGGTGAGGACGGGCACCCCAAAGGGCTGCACACACCGGCTGCCCCCTCCTCTGGGCGACACTTGGATCCATTGGAGGCACTCAAAAAGAGGGACAGACATTTTTTCATACTTCTGCAGACAGAGGGGAGACTGCACGTCACTCTCTGACACGTGTCTGAACAGGCTCTTCTGCCGGCGGAGGCAGATCTCAGTCTCTCGCTCTTTGTCCCTTCCTCCGCCTCTTTCTGTCACTCTGGTCTGAGCGGGTTGTATGAGATTCCTAGAAAATAAAAAGTTCTTGAAGTGTCGAGAATTTATTGGACTACGCAAAAATTTCCTAAAGAAAAGAACATTTGATATTTCTTCTTTACTGTGGTAATCACAATTTTAGCTGATTGCTGAATTGATTTTCCGGTGATAGCACCGTCTACTCGAATTGAACATAAGGTCAGCAGAGGCATAAACTTCACATGCTGTTTTCTCTGCTACACAGTTCACTTATTCGTGCATTCGGTACGCATTTACAGGGCAACATCACCTGCATGTCGCTGCGCTAGGTATGATGAAAAATAGGACTTGGTCTCTTCCCTGCCAATGCAGATAGCCTAGTAGGTGAGGCACATACGTGAACCAGGGCCTCCAGGAGGGGAGAAGCGGTTCTCAGAAGCAAAGAGGAGAGGGCGAGAGGAGAGAGGAGAAGACCAGGAGGCATGATGATATCGATGTCGCCAGGTGGAGGGGAGCGGGCAGGGCACTGCAGACCATCATGTTGCTGAAGGATGGAATGCATGGGACAGAGAAAGACCTGAACCTGGAAACCTGGGCTGAGGACAAATTGCCAGCGGCCTTGTATATTCCACTGAGGAATTGAGGCTTTTTCAGGCAAAGAAAAGGAATAAGGGTTTTCACACTGAGGAAGGGAACCGGTCAGATCTGATCTGAGTGTGTGGGATAAAGCAGTGTGTGCCGGGTCTGTGTGGGGAGATCAGGAAGAGGAGGTGGCTTCACAGATCTGGTGACAGAGGACCAGGCGTGGGGAAGGCAGTGCCAGTGGGGACAGACAGGAGAGCCTGGATGCGAGCGACACTTCCAAGGCAGGATGGGCAGGACTTCCTGCTTCTGCAGCTGGAATGTTGAATGAGTGCAGGATGACTCTCAGTTTTCCAGCTTGGAAGGCGAGGTTGATCACAGAAAGGGAACACAGGAGCCGGAGCTGGCGTGGGACACGTTAAATGGCTGCGTCCCAATAGGAAATGCAGACTGTATCAGAGGAGAAGCTGGGTGTCATCCCAGGGGGACAGGGTAGGGTAAGAAGTGCGTGCAATAGTGGGCCCTGGGGAGCACGGACATTTAAGGAAAAGCCAGGGGAAGAGTTAAGAAGACTGAGAAGGGATGGTCAGAAATGTGACAAGAGCAAGAAGAAAGTGGTATTCCCAAGGTTCTAGGAGGCAGGAAATCCATCAGAGCCCAGATTCAAAGTTTACACATCCTTTGCTACGCAAGTTGGTCTAAGGACTGGGGTAGGCAGAAGTCGTGCTGGCCACCCAGGGATGTCCACACTCTCATCCCTAGAACCTGTGACCACGTTACTTATACGGCAAAAGAAATCTGCCGCGTGAAATTAAGGTTAAGGACTTTAAAACAGAAACATTATTCTGGATTATCTGGGTGGGCCCTTACGAGGAGCACTAGGAGGCAGAGGATGATGAAGAAGAGGTGGGAGGAAACGGAAGGATGAGAGGGACTCGCCCAGCATTGCTGGCTGAGGAGGTCCTGAGCCAAGGAACTCAGGTGGCCTCCAGCAGGTGGGAGTGGCCGTCAGCTGACAGCCAGGAGGACAGGGGACCTCAGTCCTACAACTGCAAGGACCGAACTCTGAACGAGCAAGGAAACGATCCGCTCCTGCAGCCTCCAGGAGGGAACGCAGCCCTCCTGACACCTTGGTATCAGCCCAGTGACATCCAGGTCTGACTTCTGACCTCCAGAAGTGTGAAATAATAATTTTGTGTTCTTTTAAGCCTCTAAGTTTCTGGTCACTTGTTAGGTAGCAATAGAAAGCTATATGCTAAAGTAGGGGCTAAAGTAGGCCAGTTTCCTTGCCTGGATTTTCTTGGCCTTTTCCTTAGATGTCAGCACCCCTTATGGATCTATTTTGGGGACTCCTCTTCCTCCCCTCCCATATTTTCTGTCCAAGCTAGACGTAGTACCCAAATCTAATTTCAGGGGAAAGGAAAAAATTAAAGAAAAGATTGCAATTTTGGGGGTTGCCCCCAGCTAAGATTTGTTTGACCTGTAGTGTTAGAAAAAATTTAAATTTCTCATTCTTTTTCTTTCTTTCCTTTGTTCCTTTCTTCCTTCCTTCTTTCCCTCCCTCCTTTCCCTCCTTCTCCTGTTTTTTTTCCTAAGTAGATTCTCTGACAACACTGGGTTGGCTGGCTGGAGCTGACTGTCACTTTGAGACTGTCACCCCTTTGAGACATGTTCTCCAATTCACCACGATCTCCACCCGTTCCTGTTGTCTTTCATGGGCTGCTTTACTCATTTATATAACCTGCCTGTGTTCCATAGGTGACTGACTTTGTGACACTAGCTTAAAGCTGGCATTGGAACATGTTAGATCTGGGGTCTCCTAAGGGAGAGAGAAATCAGAAAATACAATCAACAAGACTCAATAAAAGTTCAGATTTTTTTTTCTAATTCAGGATGGTCCTAGTAAGTGTCATGAGGCCTTTTAAATAACACATTTGTGCATGCTTGCACCCCAGCACATCAGTGCACCCATGGGTGCATGTGAAGAGAGAGACAATTAAGAAGTAAGAAGATGGGGCAAAGGTCTCAGTGGCAAATGAGTCAGTTAGACTCTTTCTTTCCTTAAGTAGGGCCCGACTGCTGCCAGCCGTGGGTTCAGCCACGCCCACTCCAGGCCAGGGCATTTCCGCATGCGACTCTGCATCAGTGTTTCACTGCTCCTCAGGGATCACCCTGCTGCGGGCCCTCCAGCCTCTGCGGTTGCTTGCATGGGGCTCTTGCCCTGTCCCTTTCTCATCAAGCTCTTTCCTGGGACCTCCATTCCAGTAATTGGGCTCTTCTTCATTATTTTCCTGGGATCTCGCTTTAGTCCTGTGCCTGATTTTTAGGAACTGGGATTTGGTTTCATGTCCACCCTTCCATCTATTAATTGGAGTCCCATTCTGAAGCCCTAGCCCTGTTAGGGGAGGACCTTACATACGCTGATCGCTTCCCTTTCTGGGCCTCTCCCGGGGGGCCACGGGGCTCTCCATAGCTCCTTCCTCAGACCTCCTCTAGTGCTATGTCTGCCCACAGCCCCCTGGATCTCCTGCAGTCCCCGCTGTTCAGGAGCCCTGTTCCGACATTACAACCTTTGCCTTCCTTGTGAAAAGTCTGGGAAGTAAAGGATATCAGCATAGCAGGGAACTTTGGCCAGAAATTTGAAAGGATTCTCCCATAAGCTTTCTAGTCCTTCCTTGCTCTGTAACCCTGAGAGATGATGAGCCAACATGTCCTCCATGTTGGAGGGCTCACTGAGGACATTCTTACTGTTATTTTACTCCTGATTTTTTTCAAAGGACAGAAAATGGGCCTAGTCACTTAAAATGATGACAATGGTTTAAGCCTTCAGGTCAAAAATTCTACAAAGAATTTCTTTATCTACTAATTGGCAAATGAACAGAACTCTAGGGAAGTTCTTTCCTAGATTTCTTTCATGCATAAAGAGATGAATAAATGGGCCAATGTGGTGGCTCATGCCTCAAATCCTAGCACTCTGGGAGGCCAAGGTGGGAGGATTGATTGAGGTCAGGAGTTCCAGATCAGCCTGAGCAAGAGCATGGCCTCATCTCTACTAAAAATAGAAAAAATTAGATGGGTGTCATGGCATATGCCTCTAGTCCCACCTACTTGGGAGGCGGGGGCAGGAGGATCACTTGAGCCCAGGAGTTTGAGGTTGCTGTGAGCTACGATCACACCACAGCGCTATGATGGCAACAGAGCGAGACTCTGTCTCAAAAACAAAAAGTTGCATAGATGGTAACTACAGAACAGGAACAGGACAAAGTATAAGAAGTGGTGTGTTCTAGTCCAGAGTCTGTCATTTACTACCTAGAAATCTTTAAAAAGTCATTTACCTTCTCTGTGTGTCAGTCTCCTCATCATTTATTAAAAATAAATGATTTCCGACATGACTGTTCACAGGGTTCTTTTGAGGACAAACTAAGACAATGGGTGGGAGTCATTGTCCAAATGGGAGATCCGAGCATGAAAAGACCCGTTGGTCACTGCTGATGACAACAGCGCCTTGCTCCCTGGAGTGTTCAAACATCTACACCCATTTGTCATGGGAGTCTCCAACAACCCGAGCCGGGGTTTGCACAAGGCCACACAGCCGCAGAGTGGGACCTAGAGCCCAGGTCTCCTGACCCCACCCCTGCGGAAAGACCATCTCCCATGGGACCCCCAGGCTCAGGGAGGGCAGAAGTGCTTCCTTCCGTGCCCTGCCCGAGTCTTACCCATCGCAGTCTGCTCCTGCCTTATGTGGGCTTCCGCCCCATCCCCTTCCTGATCATTCCAGGGGCAGATGGTGCCAGCCGTGGGTTTCATTTCTTACCAGAAAAGGTTCTGTCAGTGTCAGGAGGCCTCGGAGAGATGATTTGCTTCTGTTGGGGGCCTGACTTGATTACTTCCTCTCCTTTTTGATGGTGGGTACTCCTTTGTGCCTGAAAGGAGAGAGAACACCAGTTATCACAATGGCAATGAGGTCTCTAAAGCTGTACTCTCTGCTGGTTTGTGGCTGTCATTTCCTTTAGGGGTGGCAACAGCCCAGACTGAAACCTTTTGCCTTCAGGATAGGGCTCCTCACATTCTTAGTCTCACTCTCTTCCCCAGGAGCTTGTAGCCTCGGAAGCCAAGCATTGCCTTTCCAGTGTAAAGAGTTCAGAGAACCTGGTTCGTGTTTTAGGCACTGGCACTGGCAAATGACACGTGGGCGGCTCCAGATCTCTGTTGGAAGGACAGGTCTGCAAGCAGATCTGAGAAGGTGAGATGGCTGGCGGGGAAACCAGGCCTGCCATTCTCAGAGGCTGCTATCTGTAACCTTGGCCTTCAAACAACTCTTTGACACTCCTCCGCTGCAGTTTCCATGACTCCTGGGGATTCTCCTACCTTAGCATCAGTCTTACTCTGATGCTTGTGCAGAAGTGAGTTCAGCTAAATCAGATTTTAACAGGCTCACATTCTTTCTGTTCTTATTGCCAATATCCTGCCAAGCAGAAGAACAGCTCCTTTTTCTTTCTCGCCTTGCACCCCTTACTCTGAAGGGCTAGCATATTTGGGAAGCTGGTATTAAAAAATAGTCTGAGACACTCTTCCACCAGCAATAGCATTCTGCTTGAAGGTGGGTCAGGGACTTCAACTTCCTAAAAGTGCCTTCCTAAAAGTTGGGGGTGAGCAAAGACCTTCATAGAGAAACCCCTCCCTCGCTGCCCCAGCTGCAGGCCCCTCTAGAGCCAGCAAGCTCCATTTCCTGGTTCTACATGCCGAGGAGAGTCAGGATGTGTGGCTAGGTCCTGGGAAGTTCATCCCATCTCCCATGGTGCGCTTGGACATAGCAGCTCTGAACCGAAGATGAGGATTTCTGGCTCATGCCTACCCCTGGACAGGATACAGCTGCATGTTAGAAAGCACAAGTCTTGGCTGGGTAAGGTTGGTTGATGAAGCTAAAGACAAATATACAGAGGAAAACTGTGTCAGAACTCATGATACAGAGAGTCACTGGAGGACCTTCAGCCTGGGGAGGACCATCCCAGGAGGGCTTCCAGGCTCACCTCAAAGGAAGGGGTTGGGAAAGGGAAAGCAGGGATGCCCCAGGGATGTTTGGGAGACCTGGTTTGTATGCTGCAGTTATTTTTTGTCCCAGGAGACATAGCGTCTGGATACAAAGGCCATGATGTCAACCACACAAAGCAAAGGAAGTAAAATAAGGAGACTAGGCCAGATGAACACTAGAATCACAGACTTTAGGACTGTTTGGACCCTATGGATCATGGGCAGTGTTCCATAATGGCCTCCCCCATTAGGTACCAAGGCAACATATCTAAAGGGATAGGTCAGTCAAGGTGGTGTTTCATGCCTATGAGAAGCAGAAAAAGAGTATTCCCAACATCTTCCCCAAGTAGAAGCTGACAAGTGGGGTCGAAAGGAAAGGTTTGTTTGGAGAGAACATTGGAAGCAAAGGCAAGGTTAGTGCTAGGGAGTGGGGTTGACTTTTCAAGGCTGAAAATGGCAAAGAAAAAGAATATAATATGGCCTCACTATGGGCTTCTAGAACCACAGGGTTTGTTACAGGGATGAGCTCAGTGGCAGGAGCCTCCAGGAAGCAAGAGGTATGGGATGGTACTGTTCAAGCCAGCAGTGGTCTCCGTGGTGGTGGTGGTGGGGGGTGCGGAGTAACAACTGGGACATTATGGTGGTCTCTTAATAAAAATCACACATCATGCCTGGAAATGGACAGGGGAGTCAGCAGAGATATGGAAGAAGCTTAAGCCATCTGCCTTCCAGGGGCTATAAAAGAATCAAGAAGATATAATTATTCAGATGAAAGCTGCACACAGAGCTCTGGAAAAAGGTCAGGAGACCCACTTTTTATCCCCACTCTGTCACTCACAAGCTGTGTGATCTTGAGCAAGTCACTTCACATTTCAGGGGTCTCAACCTACTCACGGTCAATAAGGAGATTCACCAAGCTGGCCTTAGAGTCACCTCGTAATAGAGTAGTGGCCTTTTGCTATCAATGGAGATCCAACTCCAACTCACAATTTGCGGCTGTACTTGTCCCTCCTTCCCGATGTTGAGGCCACAACCACTCAACACCTCTGAGCAAGGTGAACCTTAAGATGACCTGGTCTCCTAGGGAAAGAAGAAGGAGAGCATTAAAAACCCTTGTGGCAACTCTTGATGAAGTCTTTTTGTTTGTTTGTTTTTTTGTTGTTGGCCAATTAATTTGCTTCAATTTTTAGTAGAGACAGGGTCTCCCTCTTGCTCAGGCTGGTTTTGAACTCCTGACCTCAAGTGATCCTCCCACCTCGGCCTCTCAGAGAGCTAGGATTACAGGCTTATGAAATCTTTCTAAGTGAGCCAGAAAGTTCTTGTGTAACATGCCGTAGATTATAGGATGTTACCTAAATCCAAACCTTTGTATCTGAGGTACTATGGTTTGAACGTCCCCTACAAAACTCATGTTGAAATTTAATTGCCAATGAGATGGTATTAAGAAATGGGGCCATCATGAGATGATAAGGCCATGAGGGCTCTGGTTTCATGAATTGATTAATGTCATTGTCACAGGAGTGGGTTTGTTATTTTGAGAGTGTATTGTTATAGAAGCAAGTTTGGCCCTCTCTCATTCTCTTGTTTGCACTCTTCTTGCCCTTCCACCTTTCACCAGGGATGACACAGCACGAGGGCCATCACCGGATGCTGTCACCATGCTTTTGGACTTCCCTGTCTATAGACCCACGAGCCCAATAAACTTGTCTTATAAATTACCCAGTCTCAGGTATTCTGTCATAGCAGCACAAAATTGACTCAGACATAAAATTAGCGGTCTGAGGCTGAGAGAGGGAAGCAACATGCTCGAGGTTCCTCAGCTCACAGTTGCTGACTCTCCAGGCCTGGAGTCCTGATCCCTTAATTCACGGCATCCTGCGTCTCTCTTCCTCATTTTGACATCAGAAAAAACTGGGGGATTTATTTCCTTGGAGCTCAAAAGCTGGGCACTCTTTGGCTACCACTAAAAATACAATATTATAATTTATGGGACCACCATCATACATGTGGTTCGTCATTGACCAAAAAACACCATTAGGTGCTCCATGACTGTGTGTTTTTATATATATTTCTATAAATGTGTATACACATACATGCACATATTTAATTTATATTAATTATGTGATATATAAATAATAAATATATATAAATCCCTCCTATTTATACTACAGAGATAACCCTGTTAACATTTTAATCTTTATTTCTGTCTTTTTATGCTTTCATAGAAATTATGTATGTATAGAAATATACATATCTATCATATTAAAACTGTACTGTATACCCAGATTTTTAAGTTTTCAATTAACACTATAAAATACACGCTTCTCAAACGGAGTTTTATGGGGCGAGTGGAAGCAGGCAGTGAAGCGGGTGTCCGCGTCCCGGTGCCCACCGCGCGGACTGCGACAGGCATGCGCAGCAGTGTCCCCACCGCGCGGACTGCGACAGGCATGCGCAGCAGTGTCCCCACCGCGCGGACTGCGACAGGCATGCGCACCAGTGTCCACCCGGCGGACTGCGACAGGCATGCGCACCAGTGTCCCACCGCGCGGACTGCAACAGGCATGCGCACCAGTGTCCCCACCGCGCGGACTGCGACAGGCATGCGCACCAGTGTCCCCACCGCGCGGACTGCGACAGGCATGCGCACCAGTGTCCCCACCGCGCGGACTGCGACAGGCATGCGCACCAGTGTCCCACCGCGCGGACTGCGAGAGGCATGCGCACCAGTGTCCCGGGAGCTGCAGCGGGAGCCGCACGCGGGTGGGTTGCCCTCTTGCAGGCACCGCTAGCCACAGATGGTACCTACTTTACCCCGAGTGCACCTGCTTCGCGGAGGGCCAGGTTAATGAGCTGTCCTCTGCGCCAGACCCCTGGGGAGTCTCCAAGCTGGACCTTTGGGCCTTCGCTTTCCCTTCCCAAGTCTCAGCTGCTAGAGAACGGGCAGTGGGTCCTGGCGGAGCTCACCTCCACTCGGATGAGGGTACTTGTACGCAGCCTTGGGAGGACTTCTTTTCTCCTTGACCTTCTTGCCCCTGTACTGTAAGTAAGAGCGCTTTGCCTTCCAGGAACAAAACCTACGAGAAGAACGCTTCTGGTCACAGGGGGGGAACCACCAGTGGAGGGGGCTAGAAAACGAACACAGGGGAAACCGGGTGGGGGCCAGCCCTCACAGAGAGTGTGGGGTGTCCAGCAGAGAAGAGGGGAGCATCATCCTGGCCTTGGAGTACCGCCTGTCGGAGGTTCTTCTTTTGAGGCTCCCGCAACGGCCCAGCATGGGTGGTTTGTTGGGATGTCCTTCTGGAACCACTGAATGGAGTCTGTAAAGAATCTGCTGTCCCTGGGCCTGGGGGAGGGTTAACCCCTGGGGGATGTCCGGGCATCAGACTATGAGATCCTTGTGTAACCCCACCTGGTGCAGCCAGGGCATCTGGCTGGTCCCCTCTCAGGTCCGGATCCTTGCTTTCCATCCTGCCCCTTCCTGACAGCCTTGACCCCTCACCCTCTTCCCAACTGGCTTTTCTCTGGAATAGACCCTGGTTCCTCATGAGAACTCAGACTCGTGTAACCCGAGATAATATATGTGAACACAATTTGCACAACTTACATCTCTTTGTAAGTGCATAGGAAGGCAAGTAAAGAAATAACTGCATGAGGATCAATCAGGGATCCAAAACTTTCCGAAAGTACCTATACTCTTTCTAAACACGTTTAGGAACAGCTGAACACTGACTTAAGCCAGGAGAAGCGTATGTATCTCAGAGCTCCCTGAGTCTCCTAAAGAGAAATTCTCACATTGAATTTCTATATCTTCCTGGTTAGGAGGACTAGAATTAAGTGCTAGATAATGATTAGTGTTCTAAGGGCTAAATTGCTTATCTTAAACTTAGATTTCTGTATTTATTTTAATTCTGCATCAAATAACCTGTTATTTTAGGGATTTTAAAATAAAGGTTGGCAATTGGTAAGCAACCTTTATACACTTCTATCTTAATAATCTGATATTTTTTTTGTGGGAGAGGGGAACAACCCCTGAGAGCTGGAATCACATGATAATCTAAGTATCCTGATTAACCTTGTCTGAGAAAATTGCAGTGTCCTCTGGCCCTTACGACCCAAGGTGTTGCCATTTACCCCGTGGAGGATGTGAGCTGCAGCTATGGTAGACTAGCTAGGGTAGGAATAAATAACCAGCTGGGAGAACTTAAGCCAGTCTCGCAGCTCAAACCTTGACAAGACTGCTTAGGAACCAACCAGTGGCCACAGATTGCATTTGATCTGCAGATATTTTGCTTGTTTCATTTTTGCTTTTTGGCCTTTGCAGGTTCCTCACCATGTTTTAGTCTTGAGTTAGTTGCCACATTTGCCACTTTCACCTTGGGAGAGATGACACAGAATTTTGAACTTCTAGCTCCTCTTGAACATTGATATATGTAGCAACTGTGCCCCCTTAGTGGGAATTGTGGGAATTTGGGCATAACAGAGCAAAAACTCTCTCAGCTTCCTTCCTTCATGAGGCTCCTTAAGCACAAGTAGTTGTGTTAACCTTGGCAGCATTTCTTCCAAAGTGGCTGTGGTTTGCCTTTGACCTTAGGTGAGAATCCCAGGCCTGAGAAAACCTCACATACTTGTTCCAAACAAGCACAAGAAGAGGTGAGGTGGGAAACCAGGCATTCTGGTTCCCAGAAAATGGCACTCTCCTGTCCATTTTCTGATTTAGTATTTAGTGTTCTGTGTGAGGAATAGAGAGTAGTGAGGTGGATAAGAAAATACCATCTTAGTTCCCACACAAAACTGGAAACTATGAAACAAAGGGTTAGAGGAAAAGAGAAAACTCTCTAGAAGGCTGTGTTTTTAACCTGATGTGACATTCATTGAATAAGAGATAGTTACCTTTTCCAGAAGTACATGACAATGGGGAAGATAGCCATGATAGACGGGTGGAAGATGTTGCGATCCAGATGGCCCTCTGCGATGGCAATAAGGATGGTGTCCTTCTGGGACTCAGTGATATTCACCTACCCACAGAGCGGGAGCCTGTTACTGGCAGAGGCTCCAGGGAAGGCAGAAAACCTCTCTTGGCCCCCAGGACCCTTAAGACCACTTCCTTTCCAAAAAGGAGAAGCTTTTCATGGGGTTGCTAAATAAAGGACATCTAATTGGTCCAGTACTTAGGAGTCATCTGACAATTAGCTTTCAGGGTCCCTGTGTGGGAAATGCTTTTGGCTAAAGGACAGAGTGGAGTGGAAGTCCCCCTTACCCTCAGCTTTGGAGGGATGTCAGAATGCAGGAAGAGCTTCATAATAATGTTCATTTTGGACCGCATTAGGACCACATCATTCTCATTGTATGCTCGGTTGACCTGCAGCATGTGAGCCGAACTCACCAACTCGTTAAATCTAAAAAAGAGGTGTTAGGCAGGAAATCAGCAAGGAGAAAATGAAAGCAGTGACTAGATAGGGCACCTGGGCCAGGCTTCTTTCTAGCCTAAAAAAGGCAGGGCCAGTTCTGGGCCAGGTTGTGTCTTCATTCATTCAGTTATAATTTATCCACGGGCAAATACTGAGCACCTACCACATGCCAGATAACATGTTAAGTGTGACTTCAGGTGCATTTCTTCACCACAAATGCCCTCATTTATCCTACCCTCCGCTTCTTTACCCATTCTGGCCCTGTAGCATTTTCGCCTCTGCTGACTTCAAGGCCTATGGCATTTCTTGCTCTTTCTTCTTCTGTGATGACCTGAGGTAAGCCCTGAGATGCAGGTAGGCACCACTCATATAGAACATTTTAGGCAATAGGAGGAGGTTTAGACTTTACTCCAGTGGTAATCAGAAGGCACTGGAACATTTTAGGCAGGAGAGTGATATAGGTTGGGTTACATTTTTAATAGGCTACTCTAGTTGCTATTCAAAAAATAGTTTGTAGAGGGCAAGCGAAGAAGCAGAGGTGAGGTAGTGGGAATTGCAGCAGCAGCAGGTGAGGCTGTTCACTCTGACTGCCATCTCTCTCTGCTCCCCTTTGCCTCCCCTTTACATATTTTATTAACTGACTAATCCCTACTTACTCTCCAAAATTCAGCTTAGGTGACCTGTCTCCCAAGAAACCATACCTGAGAACCTTCAGTTGTCTAAATGCACTTCCTGTGCCTGATTCTCCTATAGTACCTTATCATCCTGAGACACTTTCTAACTTTTATTTGTGTCTGCCATCCCCGTTAGTTTGTGAGATATTGAAGAATAGAGAGCATGTCTTAGTTGGTTTTTGTATCTCCAGTATCAAATTCAGTGTCCAATAAAAAGTAAGCAATAAAAATAATTGAAAAACCTTTAGCTCAACTAAGAAAAAAGAGAGAAAACCCAAATAAATAAAATCAGAAAGAAAAAAGGAGATATAACACTGAGACCACAGAAATGCAAAGAATAATTGGAGACTATTATGAACTATACTCCAACAAATTGGAAAACCTAGAAGAAATAGATAAATTCCTGGACACATACAACCTACCAAGATTAAACCATGAAGAAATATAAAACCCAAGCAAAAGAATAACAAATAACAAGATCAAAACTATTACAAAAAGTCTCCCATCAAAGAAAAGCCCAGGACCTGATGGCTTCACTGCTGAATTCTAACAAACATTTAATCAAGAACTAATACCAATTCTACTCAAACTATTTTATCAAACTAAGGAGGAGGAACTACTTCAAACCTCATTCTACCAGGCTAGCATTACCCTGATACCAACCAGATAAAGACATAACAACAAAAAAAAGGAAACTATGGGTCAATATCACTGATGAACATAGATGCAAAAATTCTCAACAAAATACTAGCAAACTGAGTTCAATAACACATTAACCATGATCAAGTGGGATTCATCCCAGGGATGCAAAGATGATTTAACATAGGCAAATCAATAAACATGTTATATCACGTTAATAGAACCAAGAACAAAAACCATATGATCATATCAATAGATGCTGAAAAGGCATTCAATAAAATTCGACATCCCCATGTAATAAAAACCCTCGCTCAATAAACAGGTATAGAAGGACCAGGCCATGAAATAATAAAGGCCATATATGACAAAACCACAGCCAACATCATACTGAACAGGGAAAAATTGAGAGCCTTTCCTCTAAGATCTGTAATAGACTCACTGTCACCACTCTTATTCAATGTAGCACTGGAAGTCCTGGCCAGAACAATTAGGTGAGAAATAAAGGGCATCCAAACTGGAAAGGAAGAAGTCAAATTAGCCTTGTTCATTGGTGACTTGGTATTATATTCAGAAAATCCTAAAGACTTCACCAAAAAACTGTTAGAACTTATAAATGAATTCTGTAAAGTTGCAGGATACAAAATCAACATACAAAAATCATTGGCATTATGTATGCCAATGATGAACAATCTGAAAAAAAAAAACAAACTAAGAAAGCAATCTCATTTATAATAGCTACAAAGAACATAAAATACCTAGGAATTAATTTAATCAAAGAAGGATTTACATAAGGAAAATATTAATGAAAGAAATCGAAGAGGACACACACAAAAATAAAAAGATATTTAATGCTCATGGATTGGAAGAATTGTTAAAATGTCAATACTATTCTAAGTAATTTATCAATTCAATGCAAGCCCTATCAAAATTCCAATGACATTCTTCAAATAAATAGGAAAGACAATTCTAAAATGTATATGGAACCACAAAAGACCCAGAATAGCCAAAGCCATCCTGAGCAAAAACCAAAAAACAAAACCACATATCTGGAGGTATCATGCTACCTGACTTTGAAATATACTATAAAGCTATAGTAAGCAAACAAACATAGCACTGGCATAAAAACAGATAAATAGACCAAGAGAACAAAATAGAGAACCTGATATAATTCCATACGTTTACAGTCATCTTATTTTTGACACAGGTGTCAAGAACACACAATGAGAAAGGACAGTCTCATCAATACATGATGCTGGGAAAACTAGATATCCATATGCAGAAGAATGAAACTAGACCCCTATCTCTCGTCATATACAAAAATCAAATCCAAATGGTTTAAAGACTTAAATCTAAAACCTGAAACTATGAAACTATTAGAAGGAAACATTGGGGAAACATTCCTAGACACTGGTTTGGGAAAAGAATTTTTGTATAAAAAATGTAGGCAACAAAAGCAAAAATAGACAAATGGGATCACATCAAGCTAAAAACCTGCACAGCAAAGGAAACAATCAACAAAGTGAGTAGACAACTCATAGACTGGGAGAAAATATTTGCAGACTCTCCATCCAGCAAGGGATTAATAACTAGAATATATAAGGAGCTCAAATAGCTCAATAGCACAAAAACAAATAATCCAATTTAAAAATGGGCAAAACATCTGAATAGACATTTTTCAAGAGAAGACATACAAATAACCAACAGGTATAGTTAAAAATGCTCAATTCTCTCTCTCTCTCTCTGAAGATCATAAATCATAAGAGAAATACAAATCAAAACTACAAGGAGATATCATCTCACTCCAGTTAAAAGACTGACAATGACAAATGTTGGTGAGGATGTGGAGAAAGGGGAATCATTGTACGCTGTTGGTGGGAATGTAAATTAGTGCAGCCACTGTGGAAAATAGTATGGTGGTTCTTCAAAAAACTGAATATAGAACTACTATATGATCCAGCAATCCCAATACTGAGTATACATTCAAAGGAAAGGAAATCAGAATATGGAGGAACTATCTGCATTCCCATGTTTATTGCAGCACTATTCAAAATGAATCAATCTAAGTGCACATCAGTGGATGAATGGAAAAAGAAAATGTGTATATATACACAATGGAATATTATTCAGCTATAAAAAAGAATGAAATACTGTCATTTGCAGTAACATGGATAGAACTTGAGGTTGTTGTATTAAGTGAAATAAGCCAAGCACAGAAAGACAAATATCACATGTTCTCACTCAGGTGTGGGAGCTAAAACAGTGGATCTTATGAAGATAGAGAGTAAATTGGTGGTTATCAGAGTCCAAGAAAGGTAGAGGGAAGATGGAGATTAAGAGAGTTTGATAAATGGGTAAAAATATACAGTTAAATAAAAGAAATAATACCTCTTGATAATCCTATGAAAGAATAAAAAAAAAAAAAAGAAATAAGACCTAATGTTCGATAGATCAATAAGGTGACTATAGTTAACAATAATCTACTGTATATTTCTAAATAGCTAGAAGAGAATATGTTTTTAGCACAAAGAAAAATAAAAAATTTAAGGTGATGGATATCCTATTATTCTGATTTTATATTTACACATTATATGAATGTATCAAAATATCACTTGTACCATGAAAATATATACATCTATTATGTACAATTAAGAAAAAATTAATAGATAGCGCTTTGAGTACAACTTATATAAGAAAAATATATGGACCTTTAATTGTAGATTGACTTTGGCTTTATATCAAAAGGCTGACAAGTGAATTGAGTATAAATTAATACATTTTAACTTAAAAATACCTGTTTAACATCATATGCACGTAACTTTTATTATCATTCTTGGCTTTAACTGAAGAACTATTGGTCCAATAGTGCTATATAAGAGGATTTCTTTCATATTTATAAATAAGGGAGAAAAAATGCTCCACTTCCTGAGAATAAGTAGTGCATTTCAACATTGGAAACTCCAGAATACTGAAGAGCTTTTAGGACCCAAAGAAAAGAATGGTGGAAATTGATAGAGTGGCAGCATTCAGTAGAATTTTTAGAAGGAGACCCCTGCTTGGCAGGCCTGAAATCACTGTGCCTCTTACAGCACAAGCCAGTCTTTGCTGGGCAGCACTACGGAATGAAAAGCCACGAGACGTAAGAGAGGTGGGAAACTTACTTCTCCATTTCAGAAAAGAAATATAAATCATTGACTGCAAAGTTAACGATGATGACCCTGTGGCCATATATGCGGCGCTTTATAAGGTTGGCGTCTCCATTCTCTTGTTCTGTATTCCGGACATTTGTGCCGGTTGGGACTGGACGTCCTGGTGTGTTGGATGGCGATGTGGAGAAATCTGAGAGAGAAAGAGGAAGGAATTACAGTCTGGTTTGATCAAGTCACTCTTAAGGCTGTAGCCTTCAACCTGGGCATAACAAAAATGAAGACAGGAAACTGTGGGCCCACCATTTGGGCCTGTTGAAATAGTCACTCCCTACTATTGGGCTCAGCCTTTTACTTAGATTTGGAGGACTGCTGAAAAAGCCATCTGCTCAGATGGCATGACAACACAGAAAAAAAAAAAAAAAATAATCAACTGAGCAATGAAGGGGATGTTTTCCTGCTACTTGTCTAATGGAAAGATAATCGCACTGCAGTTATGCCAATCCCTAAGGTTTCTGCAGAGACTGTGAAAACTGAATATGCAGATGTGACACTCAATATGGAGTGTGTGGTTCTAAGGATGCTTATTCAATATTTATTGGGGAAGTAATTTAGGAGTATACTGGGAAAGCACACAAAGAAAAAGCCAAAGCATCAAGAGTAAAGAAGTTTATTAAAGAAACTGTGGGTAGAAAGCCAGAGTGGAAAAGAGATAGGAATGAGTAAAGAGGATCATAGAAGGTTCTGGAAGATTTAGATTGTATGTCAGAAAAATAAGATACTTATTTTAGAAAGTTTCTTGACTAGGATATATCCAAAGAAATTTATCCATAGGGATTCAGGTCAGAGAAAAGAAGAGTTTGGGGCTGGCCCTGATAAGTAGACCCTGGTTAATTGGCCTGGCTTAGTTTAAGAAAATTATTTAATCAAGCTCTAGAATTTACCATTCTTCCTGCAAATCTTTATTTTGGAGTCCTGTTCAGAAATTGTTGATGTGGGATTCCTTTTGGCACCATGTTATAATATGTAGGCTAAGAGGGCAACTACACAACTCCATAAATATCTATGACTTGTTATATCTCAGACCTTGTGCTAGGTCCTAGGATTACCACACTGAATAAGACATAGGTCCTTGCCCTACTATCTTTCAATCTCTCTCTGTTTCTCTCTTTGACTTGAGTTTGAAGGATGAAAGAATCAGGATAACAGTAGAAATTGATATAATAATGGCTAGGAATTTTAGGAACAGAGGGTGCTAAGTCCATGATGTGGGTTAATAGTGAGATCCAGTCATATTTGACTTCTTCCTCTTTCCACATCCAATTAGTCACTAAATCTGTTGATTCTATTTTCTAACTATATTTCAGGTATACCCATTATTTGCCTTATTTGCATCTACAGTTGTCCAAAGCATCATCATCTTTCACTTGACTTACTATAAAAACCAGATAACTGTTCTCAGGGTCAGGACTAGGGTAAGGTGACTGAGGTGCTAGGACATAAACTTTAAGGCAGCACTCACTCTCAAAGGGGTACCAGTGCAGAGCTGGCATTTGCATGGCCCTGAGAGTTGGTGCCTCCTTAGCTTTTGTGCCTTACGTGCCTCACTTGCCTTACCCTAGTTCCAGCCCTGCCTGTTCTTCCTCCACTTAAGTTTGTTTCCTTGCAGTACATTCTCTACATTAGGATGATGATTCCAAAACACAAATTGGATATTGTTACAACTCTGATAAAACTTTTTAAAGGACTTTCACTTCTGTCCAAGATAGGGTATCAGGGACTTGACCAGTATCCTCCTGCCTAAAACAATAAAAAAAAATCAGACAAAATATATGAAACAATTGTTTTTAAGACACTGAATATCAGAGGATTAAGGAAAGTGATCACTGAGATTTGGGGAAAAAATGAGGTGGGCCCTATTCTTGCCCCACTTTATCACCTTGGGAAAGGGTCCAGTCTACAGCCCAGGGAGAGAAAACCCAGACAAAGTGTGGTGGACTCTCTGAATTGAAGAGAAGGAGCTGAGAGTACAGAGAGTCCAATGTGACTAGAGTCACAGGACAGAATTCAAAAAGGAGAGAGACAATTCTGGGAATCAGCAGAGAGGCTTCTCAAGTATCAGCAGTGTCCAGACCAGCTCAGGCATGTAAGGAAACTCCCCAAAGCCAGAAGGAGGGTAGATCATCTGAAAGCATTAGAGAATAGTCTTTGGTGCTCACACAGAGCCAGCAAATAGTGCCTGTTTTCACCAGAAGCTGGAAAAACTCATAATTCAGGAGGAATTTGGTAGAATACCCAAAAAGGTTTTATTTCAGTAGTGGAGAATAGCCCTACGGAGAACATGGCTCTGGATCCACCTAACAAGTTATAAAAGCAAGATCCAATAAAAGAAAAAAATGAAACCATTTTCAAGTAACTTAACTGTATCCCAGAACAAAGTCCAGATATATTTTATAGAAATACAAAAATATCCAATACCTAAAAAGATAAAATTCACAATTCCTGGCAACCAAAGAATTAACATACACTGAAAGAAGCAAGAAAACATGACCCATAGTGAGAAGCATAGTTGATCAGTGTAGTTGACCTAGAACTGACATAAATATTAGAGTTAGAAGATAAGAACATTCAAATAGTTATTGTAACTGTATCCTATATTTTAAAAAAATCAAGTAGAGACATAGGAGATATTTAAAAACCCACTGAAAGTAAACTTCTGGAGATGAAAACTACAATGACTAAGATGAAAAATACACTGAAAGGGAATAATGGTGAATTAGATATGTCCAAAGAAAAGATTAGTGAACTTGACATAACAATGGAAACTATCATAAATAAAGCATACAGAGTAAAAAAGTATCTGAGAAAACTGAAGCATATCAGTGAACTGTCTGACAACTTTATTTGGACAAAATGCATGTAATTGGAGTCCATAAAATGGTGACAGAGAGTATTTACAGAAATAATAACCTAAAATACTCTACATATGATGAAAACTACAACCACATAGATCCAAAAAGCTCAACAAACTCAAAGTACAAGAAACATAAGGAAAACCTCACCAAAACATATCGTAATCACAATTTTCAGAACTAATAATAAAGAAAAAAAATCTTACAAGCAAAGAAAGAACAACATATTACATATAGAGAAACAAAGATAAAGATCACATCAGATTTCTTGCTGGAAACAATGCAAGAAAGCAGATAGTCCCACATCTTTAAAGCATTAAAAGGTAAAAATCTGTCCATCTAGATTTCTATACTCATGAAAATATCTTTTAAAGATGAAAGCAAAGATACTTTTAGACACACAAAAGATGAAATAATTCATCACTGGCAAATTGCATTACAAGAAATGTTAAAGGAAGTCCTTTAGGCAGAAGAAAAATGTTATCAGAGGAAAATACAAATCTACACAAAGAAATGAAGACTAGCACAAATGGTAACTTAATGGTAACTATAAATAAAATATATAAATTTTTTAGTTATTTAAATCTCTCTAAAAATTAATTGTATATTTAAACAAAAATAATAACAGTGTGTTGTGGGATTTAAAATATATGTATAAATAAAATGTATGGAAATAATATTATATAGGCCATGAGGGGAAAAATGAAAATATACTATTTTAAGTTTCTTATACTACAGGTTGAATATCCTTTATCTGAAATACTTGGGATCAGAAGTGTTTTTGGATTTTGGATTTTTAAAATATCTACATATACACAATGAGATATCTTAGGGATGGGACTCAAATCTAAGCATGAAATTCATTTATGATTCATATACCCTTTATACACACAGCCTGGAGGTAATTTTATTTTTTCCTTGGGAATAAATTGTGTGTTATGCATATGTGTTTTGACTGCAACCCATCACATAAGATTTGGTGTGGAATTTTCAATTTGTGGCATCATATCAGTGCTCAAAAAGTTTTAGATTTTGGAGCATTTTGGATTTTGGATTGTTGGATTAGGGATGTTCAACCTGTATATGCAAAGTGATACAATAGCACTTGAAGGTAGACTGTGCTACCATGTTTCCCTGAAAATAAGACCTACCCATAAAGTAAGCCCTAGCAGGATTTCTAAGTATTTGCGCAATAGAAGCCCTACCCCGAAAATAAGACCTAGTGATGGGCGTGGCTACTCAGCATATCTGCACAACCCACACATTTCATCAATGAGCGGTAAAGAAGATGAGCAGCCCTTCTCATCTGCCCCATCATGACAGCTACTATCCGTGCTACTATCCCAGAGGTGACCGGAAAGGTGCAGGCTGCTCCACCAACAAGGTTGGCTCCCCTTGTAATGTCCCGGCCATCCTGTGCATGCTGCAAGCTGAGGCTTTGAGGGGAAAATAACACATCCCCTGAAAATAAGCCCTAGGGTGTCTTCTTGAGGAAAAAATTAATATAAGACCCTGTCTTATTTTTGGGGAAACATGGTAAGTTAAAGATGTTTACTATGAACCATAAATCAACCAATAAAATAACAAAATAAAGAGTAATTGCTAATAAGACAACAAAGGAGATAAAATGGAATCGTAAAAAATATTCAGTCCAAACAAAGGCAGCAAAAGAAGGAAAAGAAAAGTAAGTACAGATAGGGTAAATAGAAAACAAGTAGTAAGATAGACTTAAACCTAACCATATCAGTAATCACATAAAATGTAAATGATCTAAATATCCTTATTAAAAGGCTTTAGGTTGTCAGGTTTTTTTTTGTTTTTTTTGTTTTTTTAAGCAAGACCCAACTACATGCTGGCTATAAGAAAAGCACTTTAAATGTAAGGCACAAATAGGTTATAAATGAAGGAATGGAAAAATATATGCATGGTAAAACTAATCTAAAGAAATATGGAGTGACTATTTTATTTTATTTTATAATATTGACTATTTTAATATCAAAGTAAATTTAGAGGAAGGACTATTACCAAAGATAAAGAAGATTTTTTCATAATAATAAATGGGTCAATTAATAGGAGAACATAACACTCCTAAATGCTCATGACCCTCACAACAGAGCTTCAAAATACATAAAGTAAAAACTGATATAACTACAAGGAGAAATAGATAAATCCACAATTATGATTAGATATTTCAATATCCTTTTCTAAAAAATTAATAGCACAAGTAGACTCAAACAACATTATCAGTCAAAATGATCTAACTTTAGAATACTACACTCTCCAATGGCAGAATATGTATGTTTTCCAAGTGCACATGGAAGATTTACAAAGAAAGACCATATTTTGGGCTATAAAATGTGTCAATAAATTTAAAGGGAGTGAGCTCATATAAAGCATGTTCTGTAACTACAATGGAATTAAATTGGAAACAAAAGGAAGATATCTGGTAAATCCATGTTTAGTTTTTATTTGAAAACTAAATAACATACTTTTAGATAACCCATGAGTCAAGGAAGATATCAAAAGGACAATTAGAAAATATTTTGAACTGAATGTAAGTGAAAATACAACCCATCTGAATGTGCAGGATGTCATTAATTTGAGAGAACAACAAAATTGGAATACTTACACCACTTCTTTCCAAACTTTACTATGATGCTATAGTGATCAAGATAGTATCAATGTAAAGATAGACACACATGTCAATGAAACAGAAATATAGAGCACATAAATAGACCCAATTCATATTTGACTATAAAGCTTCTAGAAGAAAATACAGGGGAAAATCTTATTAACCTTGGGTTAGGCAAAGATTCTTAAATAAGGCACAAGGTGCACAAACCTTAGAAGAAAAAACTGATAAAATGAACTTCACCAAAACTAAAAACTTCTCCTCTTCAAAAGACACTGTTAAGAAAATAAAAAAGCAAGCTACCAACTGGGAGAAAATATTGGCAAAACATGTATCCGTCAAAGAATGTAACCAGATTATATAAAGAATTCATATAACTCAATAACAAGATGACAAATAAACCAATTTTTAAAATGGGCAGGAGATTTGGACAGATATTTCACTAAAAATTATAGTATTGGATGGCAAGCAAGCACATGAACAGATGCTCAACACCGTTAGTCATTAGTTAAAATATAAATTGAACTATAATGAGATGGAGTTACATGAACTCTCGAATGGCTAAAATAAAAAAGACTGGTAATACCAAATGTTGGTGAGGATGGTGAGCAACTGAAACTTTTTTACAGTGATGGTGAAAATGCAAAAATGGTACAGCCACTTTGGAAAACGGCCTGTCAATTTCTTATAAAGTTAACATACACTTACCACATAACCCAGCAATTCCGTTCCTAGGTATTTACCCAAGAGAAGTAGCATGCATCCACACAAAGACTTGTACTTTAATATTCATAGAAGCTTTATGCATAATAGCTTCAAAGTGGAAACAACCCACATTATCTATCAATTGGTGAGTGCATAAATCAGGTGTGGGGAACCTGTGGCCTTAAGGCCACATGTGGCCTTCTAAGGTCCTTAAGTGCAGTCTTTTGACTGAATCCAAATTTCACCAGACAAATGCTTTTATTTTTATTAATACATTTTTGTTCATCTTTTTATTCTATTTTTAAAGCGAACATATTTAAAATACCAAAGAATAAAATAAATTTCAATGAAATAATCCTCCCAGATTGACCAGCACAATTAGAACATTAGCAAGCTATAAGGGCTAAATCGACAGCTGCTACACTCATAATTTAGTTCTGTTAATAACTTCCCCTGCCTGACTGGCACCACTACTGCACGAGGCTGGTTGGTGAGAGTTTATGGGGGTCAAGAATGCTAGTCGGTTATCAGCTTTTGACAATGGTACACTGTGTTTCTGTTTGAGGTGGAATTTGTGAGTAGTTGCACAGTTACACAGTGTTTTTTAATTCTCTTTGCTTAACAGACAGAATTATGTCATCATGTCAAAGAAGACCAAGAGAATGCTGAAGAACACAGATTTTTTTTTACTGAGGATTGGGAATTGCACTATTACCTTGTTTCTGCTAAAGATAAGATGATTTGCTTGCTTTGTGATACTGCAACATCAATGTTAAGGAAATTCAATGCTCATCAGCCTTTTAACATGCATAAGGACCACAAATATTTTAAATTAGAGGGAGAAGCACTAAACGTTGTAATGCAGAAATTAAAAGATGAAAAGCAAAAGCAAAGACAGTTCTTTCAAGCAGCAATAAGACCTGGAAAGAATGCCACTGAAGCAACTTATAAAGTAGCTTATGTACTGGGAAAAAAGGGAAGCCATTCAGTGATGTAGAAATTGTGAAAGAATGCATTGTTGAAGTTGTTGGATGTTTAGACTCCAATAATGTTTCAAAGTACAAGCAACTGCCTCTTTCAAGGCAAACCATAACTGATAGGCGGTATGAATTAGCCTTTAACTTAACAGAACAACTTCATACGATACTTCAAAAGGAAAATATATATTATTCACTCACTTTGGATGAATCAACTGATACTACTGACTTGGCACAGGTTTTACACTTTGTTCAGGTCATAACAAGATTTCCTTTGCTATGAAGTGTTACTTGCTTTGGGCACTCTTGCCAACAGAACACAGGGAATAGATATCTTCAACAACTTTCAAGGTAAATGTTGTGAAGTTGGACTGAGTTTTTGGTTAATTTAGTGTGTGTATGTACAGACAGTGCACCTTCCATGACAGGAAAACATGAAGAATTTATTGCACAGATTGAAATAAAAAGTATTAACAGATCCAGATGCTCTCATTGCTTTTCATTGTTCTTGCATCAACAAAATATCTGCGTTAAAGCTACTATTTTAAGTGCACAAGTTATAAGTATTGTTAACTATATTCATGCAAATGCAACACGGTATTGTCAGTTTTGTAACATGCTGAAGTTGAATGATGAGGTATTCAGTGTGGATTTGCCATGTCATTCTAAATTGTGTTGGCTATTGCAGGGACAGGTGTTGGCCACATTTTATCTCTACGAGGACAAATAGTTAATTATATTTTTTTTTTATTATTTTTTTTTTTGAGACAGAGTCTCACTTTGTTGCCTAGGCTAGAGTGAGTGCCATGGCGTCAGCCTAGCTCACAGCAACCTCAAACTCCTGGCTCAAGCAATCCTTCTGCCTCAGCCTCCCAAGTAGCTGAGACTACAGGCATGCGCCACCATGCCCGGCTAATTTTTTTCTATATGTATTAGTTGGCCAATTAATTTCTTTCTATTTATAGTAGAGACGGGGTCTCGCTCTTGCTCAGGCTGGTTTCGAACTCCTGACCTCGAGCAATCCGCCCTCCTCGGCCTCCCAGAGAGCTAGGATTACAGGCGTGAGCCACCTCGCCCGGCCGAATTTTATGAAGAACAGAATCAGCAACGTGAATTATTGAAAGAAGATTTCTATAAGAATGTAGTATTTCTGAGTGATATCATGCCAAATCAAAACGACTTGAATATTTCTTTGCGAGGTAAAACTAAGTCTATATATGATATGTGGCTAAAAATTCAAGCATTTCGAAAATAGCTATCATTTTTCAAAACACTTCTTCAAAAGGAAATTTCAGATGAACATTTTCCCCAGTTAGTGAAGGTCATTGATGATCAATATGATACATGTGAATCATTTGAAGAATACACAGCTGTTATAGACCTAGTAATCGGAGAATACAATGAATTCACTGACTTGGAGAATCATGACATCACACTCAAATTGGCATTTTGGCCTCACCTAGTTGACATCACCAAGGCACCTAAAGAACTACAGATGGAATTGATTGATCTCTGAGAAGATGAAATTTTAAAGTAATTGTTTGATGCTAAGAAAGATCCAATTGAAATATGGAATAATGCCTTCGGCAGCATGCCCCCAAAATGCTTTCTTATTTTTCAACCACTTATTGCTGCAAATCTGCATTCTCCTACCTAACTCAAATCAAGATGCCCTGAAGGTCACAAATGGCTAATACCCATCTAGAGGATCAACTGAAACCACGGACCTCCATGCTGCAACCAAATATTCAAATGCTTTCCAACAAAGAGCACACACAACAAAGTCATTAAAAGATTAGTTAATTTAAAAATTAACAAATAGTTTTCATTTTTTTTGAAATTATTAAGTACATAGTAGTTAGACTTTTTTGCAAAATAATGTACATTTTTAAGTATATCTGATTGAAGTTTCTTGAATGTGACTTTATTACAGCTAAATGAATGCAAACTTCCAACATGAAAGGGTTCCCTAGTAAATAAATTATGATATGGGACAATGGAATACTACCCAGTAATAAAAAAGAATGAATTACTGATACATACACTACTGTATCTCCAGTGCCTGCCATGTAGTAGATTCTCCAAAAACGTGCTGAGTGAGTGAATTAATGAGTAAAGCAGTTGAATAAATCCATACAATGGACACTTTATGGCAGTCAAAAAAACAAGGCAGATATATGTATACTGACATAAAATGATGTCCAAGATACATTATTTAGTAAAAAAAAAGCAAGTTATGAATAGAGCATATGGTGTCAATTTTATGGGAAAAAATAAATATTAAGATATATATAGAAAAATAGTCATGAAGTAGGTTTACAAAGCATTAACAAATTTCTCTCTTGAGGGATTTTCACTTCCACACCATATATTCCTGTAATTTTTATTACCTCTTTATTAAAAGTGTGTATTAATTATTAATTATAAGCAGAAAAATTTTAAAATAATTTTTAAAGACAAAATCAAACAACAGAAGGAGATAGTTTTGTAAAATGTGAGATCTCATGGTGCCTTATTAGATTAGACATTCTCTAGGGGTCCCTGAGCAAAGGAAAGCTACTGGGCTTGGCTTTGCAAGCCCTGGGGTTTTTGCTAGGCTCTAGGCTGCCACAGGCATGACATAAATCAATAAGCTTTGCAGCTTCTTATCTGGGCTAACCCTGGTGGCTAAAATATCAACAGGGAATGGTAGTAAACAGGGAAATGACTTACTTTCTCTGTGTTGCAGTTCCAGGTGAAGATAGTCTTCCAATTCCTGGCGCTTACTAGGATTCAACATAAATCTGCGGTACTTGCAAAAGCTCCTGATAAAGCTGGTTATTTTCAGCCAGCCCCTCTTCTGGGGAAAGAAAGAGGAATGTGACACATTCGTTAATATAGCTGCTGTTCACTGAGAGTGTACTATGTACCAAAACTTGGCATTCATTACATTTCATACTCACAACACCTCTCTAAAGGAACAATCTTTAGTTCCAATTTAAAAGTGAGAAAACTCAGAGCAGAGAGCTTGTAAACCTGCCCCAGATTAAGTAGCTGATGGGTGGAAGATTCTGGCTCCAACCAGGCACAGCTGGGGCCATTGCCCATGTTCCTTCTACCACAATCTTTCAGCAGTGAAGATCTGAGATGCCATAATTGGGAGGGAAAGTGTGAGAGAGAAAAACAGGGAGGAACAGAGGACAGAAATAAGTGCAATTCACAAGAAAGGAATAGTGGCTCAGACAGATTTTGAAATGTTGAAGAAATAAGAAAATGAGCAAAAGCATTTCTAAGCATTAAAATATATATAAAATTACATGCACCTACTCATACACACGCAAATGCATTTTATGTTTCTTCATCTGTTTCTTAATATGTACCCAGTGGCCAATTTCCAGTTTATTTGCCCCTCATGAAATTGACATTTAGAGCCAGAAAGAGTCTTGTTGATTAACTAGCTCAGTTGTCTCAGTCTATAGAGAGGGACCTCAATGTAAGCATGGCTTTAGACAGCCAGCAGGGAAGTACAAAAAGCACTGATTTGGGGTCAGAAACTTTGAGTATGGAGCCTGGCTTCTAATTGTGTAATTTGGGTGAATTTACTTAACCTGTGTCTCAATATCTCTGTGTGTAATATAGAAACCTTCCGATTGCAGTGTGGCTTTGTGATTACATACGGAAACCCCACTGCAGTGCTTGACACAAAGGAGGCATTAAGTATGTGTTGGTTTTCTTTTCTCTTATCTAAGAGCAACCAGAAGGCCTGAAATTAAAACAAAGCGCCCTGGTTCTGGGTACAGTATTCTTTCTAATATTCTGTGTGATAATTCATGGTGCCCCGACATGGAGTTGATTCATATATGAAGAAAATACAGAGGAGAAAGGAGAGAACAACACACTTTCATCCCTGGAGTATTGGATCAATGGGTTTAGGTTTTATTTTTAGAAATATCTTAGTATCATCTCTGAAGTCAAGTAGAGCTGGACTCAAATTTTTCTGATATTAACCAACTCTAAAACACACTGAGCAAGTGATTATTTAAGGACACATGTATTTTTGTTTTTTCAAACCATATGAGGATACTTTCCTGAGAAACATTCCCGACTCCTCTTTCTTCCTTCTTTTTCTCCTCCTGTGGGAGAAAGAATAAGCTAGATAATTGGTGAATTTGAAAGAAGGAAGTGGACACGCTTTGTTCTCAGCCCTTTGGGATCTGCTTGTCTGCAGGTCGCTTCTTTCGGGTCCGCCCCTTTTCATACGGTAGGAGACTCACCCTGGCATGGGGGGCCCCGAGTTGTTCCTCATGCCAGTGGCTATCTGTGTAAGTTAGTCTAATTTGGATGCAGAGAGAATCAGCAAACCACTTTGTCTCACTGCCAATCCATGTCCTCCAAACTAGCTTTTGGCAGTAAAAAAAAAAAACCTGACATTTCATTCTCCACATATCCAACCTATTACTCCATTGCTTCTAATGACAGGCAGAGAAGAGAGGGACTTCCTCAAATTCCCAGGGCAACAATTTCTCTGAGCCTCAGATTCCCCCTTTGCAAAATAAGGATAGAAAAAACCTACCCTCTAAGAGTAGTTGTTTTGGTGATTAAACAGGCTAACAGTGAAAATCTTTTGTATGGTAGACAATGCCTAGACCACTGTGGTTTTCTTGTCTCTGCTATCTTGTTTTCACTTTCTTCCTCACTGACCTGGGAGACTTGTTGGTGAACTGTTGTTGTCTTCGAGGGCTTCCTGGGTGAAGCAGTTTGTGTATGAGGTTCCACCTCTGGAAGGCGAGGTGGAAACAGTTCTTGGTAATCTTTAAACCTGCCAGAAGGAGACTGATATCAAATAAGGCAAAAACCTGGTACATAAAAGATAGCAGTCAAGGTAAACCTACCTCAGCTTTTGGAGGAAGTGTCAGTGGAAATCAGGGAACGGTAAAATAATAAAAAATATTCTTCTTGCTATGTCAATCCTTTGTTAATGTCAGCCTTTCCTTCCTGATCAATACTGTATTGTTCCTTATTAAGGCCAATGAAGAGAAATGTGTGTGTGTGTGTGTGTGTGTGTGTGTGTGTGTGTGTGTGTGCATAGTTAGGTTCAGGATAAGTTTGTCTTCTTCACAGAGGCTTGTTGAGAAATATGATTGAGGAATTAATGAAACGTGGCTCATAAAATCATTATTCTATTGTATAACCCAATATTACTATATTAAATACAGAAACAGGAGTTTGCAGGGTTTTGCCCTGAAGGAATGTGTAGACTCAATGGTTCACTTATTAGAGGCTTCTATCATGGGAGCGCTCTCAAATCTCCGGTAGGGATGTTTTACAGGAAGGCTTTCCGGTATCTCAAAATCTATGAGCTTCTCTGTGTCTTGAAAGACAAGACAAGGCAAATATGGCCCACAGGATGGGAGCCGGAGACAATGTGTACACTTTGCCTAGAGATGCGCCCCAGTGGTTATAAACAACCTGTTTATTAGAGATGGGCTTCCAGCTCTCTCATGTCTGTCTACCTTTAAGTCCACCATAACTAATCAAAGAAATACAGAGTCACTATACCTCTTTTGTTATACCTTTGTTAATTGACAACTACCTCTTAGAACTTAGAAGTTAGCCCCTGAAAGACTTTGTACGTGTTTGTTCACCTAGATAGATTAGAAGCCCCTTGAGAGGACTTTTGACCCTAACCCACTACCTGTATCCCCTAGCAACTGCATTCCCTGATATGCAAATATGTTACCCTGGCAACTGGTAATTGATGTCTGTGATTATAAACACCTGTGTGAATCTAACCACATTGCTGGTGTTTATGGAGATACACCAGTCTCCTAAGTACTCCTGCTGTGTTATATCTGATCTTTTTATGTATATATAAAACTATAAACTATACCTTAGTCTCTGTGTATTCTTTTATTTCTCTCTGTTGCCTATCAATTTCCTTATTCTCTGTGGCAACCCCTATCTTAGGGACTTGGCTCCGTGGGGAGAAGTAGCTAATCTCTCGGGCCTGCCTCAACTACTCCCCTGCAGAGGCTCTGGCGATGAGCTATGGAAATAGATTATGAGACCCTTGATTCATATGATTTTCAGAAGCCAGTGAGCAACTCCAGAGAGAATCCTTGCCTTCGCTGAGCACACTCACCACTTTTCTTCCAGCGATCTCATGACATAGCCCTGGAGCATCAGCAGCATGGTCGTGGTGATTTGACGCATGTGAGCGGTTTCTTTGACCATAGGGACGTCGCACTGCAGCATTTCTTCTAAAAAATGCAAGAGGGAGAGAAAATTTTTGAAGTAGCTGATGTGATGTTTTTTTCATCCTAGAGTCTCACAGCCCCCTATTCTCAATCTGGCTGGACTCCGAGCCCACCATGATTTGTTTGAAAATCTCCAAAGTGTATTTGGAATGTTATGGGCAAGTGTATTTGTAGATCAAATACTCTCCTGGTTTAGTTCCACTCAAATTTCAAAGATGAGTTCCTAAGGGGAAAGAAAGTTTTAAAGGACTCATTTCTAAAGTTGGTTTGAAATTTTTGATTTAGGGGAAGAGCAGAAGACTGAAGGATTGAAGTTAAATTGCTGGAGCAGATGAGGAATCCAAGATTACAAATGAGTATCACATGGGCAATATGGTGCTCCAGGGTGTTCAGAGACTGTTGTGTTCATTAATGAGACTTGAAAACGAATCAAGGCTAGGATCTGGGTACTCCTCTTTCTCTTTTTTATTTATTTACTTTTTTTCCTGTTTTTTTTTTTATTTCAGCATATTATGGGGGTACAGATTTTAAAGTTTCAATAAATGCCCATTCCCCCCCCACACAAGTCTGAGTCGCCTGCATGACCATCCCCCAGATGGTGCACATCTCACTCATCTCTTATAGCTCATTCAAAATGATGTGCAGAGCTACACATTCTGAGACTCAACAAATAAATATTCCTACAAATAAAGATTTGCTAATTTTCCCTCTTTCTTTATTCATAAAATTTATACCCTTATCTTGGTCTAACACAAGCAGAAACCAAACACGCAATAACTCTATCTGTCCACTTGTGGCAAAAGAGGAAGCTCTATCTTCATTGCTTTGCTATAGATTTCTTTGCCCCCATGATGCACTCATGCTCACCCACTTTTGTTTTCATCTAGAATTTAAGGTTAGTACTTTACTTGCAACTTCTGCTTTTGGCCAAGATGAATTTAGATGGGCTATATTTACTGTCCTGCCTTAGGCAAGAAAATAAGACACAACTTATGAAAGATTTTCCAGCCTACGGTTCTCCTTCCCAGTACAGCTCTCTGCAAAATCCATGGGAGGCGGACACTCCACCTTTGCATAGAGCTAACCCTCGCTTTTGTGTCTTACTCCAGCCTAGTTGGTTTGATGGTCAAATGGCTTGAATGGGATTCAAGTTCCACCAGTTGAACAAGTTAACTTCTCTGTGTTTCACTTTCTTTATTAGTAAAATGGAACTATTTATCCATATATTACAGAGATGAAATAACAGTCTACTTTGATAATTAAATAAAATTAATCAGAGGATGTATGGGAAAGTATCTTGCACTTGGCTTCTTTTATTAGTATTAAGATTTTGGATTTATTATTGTTGTTCTCTGCTTTCACCACCCCTCTTAATCTTTGTCTCAATACTGCCTCATGTCACCACTGCTCTGTCCTGCTCCCTCTGGGGTCTCACATGAGTCCAGCTATTTCCCAGACTATTTTCCCAAGACACTAAAGGGAGAAGGAAACAGGACTAGGAGAAGGGATGCATACCAGGAGAGAGTTTGCCATGGAAGAAAGTCCTGGTTAAATTTTCCATAAGAGACTTATGAATCCTTTCATTGGTTTCAGTGCTGATCTTGTGTGTGGCTATCAGGAATTGCAACGGGCTTTCAGCCTTCCGTTCTCTGAGGAACTCCCTGAAATACTCCAAGTGCTGTGCATTTAGGAGGACTTCTGCCAAGTTTCTGGAAAACAAGAAAGTATCTTTGGTAGAAAGACAGGGATAATGACTGGATTCTGTTCCAGTTAGGGAATGGGGGAGGGCATCTCCCAGGCTATAGGACCTTTACCCATGTGTGAGATAAATTGGTTAAATCTGTGTATATCTTTGGAGATAAACTTGAATTTTTATGTGTCTTCCTTAAGCTTGGTCCAGTCATTTGACAACCCCAGTGGAGGAGGGGATATTGTATTTTAAAGGGGATAATGCTTTTCAGAGGAACTCTCTTTTACATTATGGATTCAAAACAACTCCTAATTGGCAGTCATTTCTTTGAGGTAAAGGATGACAAATCAGCAGTTATTGACTAACATTTCTAAATTTCCTTTGCTGATTTCTTCTTTCACTGCTCCTTGAATATAAGTATCCCTAATATTTCATCCTCAAACCTCTGTCCTTTTGCCTTATGATTTTACGAGTAATCCACGCCTCCTCTATGTTTTTAATTTTCATTGATATAAGGAAGTGATTTCAAATGTCATTGATATGGTAAAACTATATTAAATATCTGTGGTTCCTGTCAGCTTTACTTTGAAATTTCAGCTGACCACCGAACCTCATCTTTATGTCATAGTTATTATTTAAACCTTTCTGCACATATTCACTTGTCCAACTTGTTCTTCCTTTATATATTTATTTCATTAAGTATGTTAGATATAGGTTTTTAATAGATGCCCTTTATCAGGATAAGACAGTTCCCTTTTATGCTAAATATATTGAGAGTTTTTATCATAAATGTGTGATGGATATTGTAAAAGGCTTTTTCTACAACTAGGATAATCATGTGAGTTTACTCTCCTTATTTTACTGATATGGTATATTATATTAATTGATTTTGGGATGTTAAGCCAATCTTGCATTCTCAAGATAAACTCTACTTGGTCATGTTATACAATCTTTTCTATACGTTATTGAATTTGGTTTGCTAATATTTTGTTGCGAATTTTACATCTAGTAAAAAAGAGAGTATTGATTCTTGGCTTTCTTTTCTTATAATGAGTTTGTCTGGCTTTGGCATCAGGATAATATGGGCCTCCTAGGACAGGTTAGCAAGTGTTCCTTCTTCTTTTCCTCAAAGAGTTCATAGATTATTGATAGTATTTATTCTTTAAATATTTCAGAGAATTCTCCAGTGAAGCCATTTGTGTCTGGGCTTTTCTACATGAGAAAATTTTAGATAATTCAATTTCTTTTCTCATTAAAGATTTATTCACATTTTCTACTTCTCCTTCCATAGGATTCAGTAATTTGGATATTCCAGAAATTTATCTATTGCATATAAGTGTCTAATTTGTTTCTTGCATCTCCTTGTAATCTTATTAATTTCTGTAGAGTCAGTAGTTATGTCTCTTCTTTCAGTCCTGATTTTGGTTATCTGTGTCATCTCATTTTTTTTTTTCACTTGGTCAGTATAGCACACAGTTTATCAATTTTGTTGATCTTTACAAAAGAACAACTTGTTTTCATGGATTTTCTCTATTTTTCACTTTACTTTATTCATTTACACTCTTAATAGTTATTATTTATTCCCCTGACTTTAATTTGAATATATCATCCCACCATCTTTGGTCTCTGTTGTTTCTGATGTGAAGTAAATGTTAATCTCATTGCAGTTCCCTTGATTGTGATGAGTCTTTTTCCTCCTGTAGCACTCAAAATTTTTCTCTTAGTTTTTCAACAGTTTAACAATGATGTGTATTAGGTGTGGGTCTCTATGAGTTTCTTCTACTTGGAGTTCATTATATAAGCATATATTCATATGTCTTGAATAAGGGCTTTAATCAAATTAAAGGATTTTAGGAAGGATTAAAGGAATTTAGGAAGTAGCCAACCACTATACATTCAAGAATATTTTCTGCCCCTCTCTCTCTTTTCTCTCCTTCTGAAAGTCCCATTACTTGTGTGCACCTCAGGTCTCTGATGTTCTGTGAATGGTTCTTTTTTTTTTTCTTCCGACTGGATAACTGTTGAGCTATCTTCAAGCTCACTAATTCTTTTGTTATCTCAAATTTGCTGTTGATTCTCTCTAGTGAATTTTTCATTTCAGTTATTGTACTTTTTAACTTCAGATTTTTATTTGGTTTTATTTTATAATTTCTATCGCATTACTGATATTCTCTAATGGATTAATCATTGTCATCTTGCTTTTCTTTACTTTTTTAAACATGGTTTTCTTTAGTTTGTAGAACATGCTGCTTGGAAGTCATTGGTGAGTCCAATATCTCAGTCATATTCAGAAAGAGTTTCTATTGTCTTCCTTTTTTTTTCTCCCTGTGTATGAACCATACTTTCCTGGGACTTGCTTGCTTGCTTATTTTTTTTTTGTAGGTATCATAATATTTTGGTTTAAAGAAGACATTTTGGATAATATGTTATAGCCATTTTGGAGCATGATTCCACACCCCACCAAAGGTGTGAGAGGTGAAAGGTGTGGATCCTGCTTTAGCCTTCTACAAGTGGCTATCCAGTTTTCCCAGCACCATTTATTGAAAAGGGATTCTTTTCCCCTGTGTATGTTTTTGTCTGCTTTGTCAAAAATTAGATGGCTATATGAGGATAGTTTTATATCAGGATTCTCAGATCTGTTCTACTGGTCAATATTTCTATTTTTGTGCCAATACCAGATTGATTTAATTACTACAGCTTTGTAATATAGTTTGATATCTGGCATATTAATACCTCCCATTATGTTTTTGTTGCCTCAGTAGTTTTATTGTTTGGGGTCTTACATTTAGGTCTTTGATCCATTTGAGTTGATTATTGTATAGGTTGAGAGATAGGATACTGGTTTTAAGTCTTTGATCCATTTTGAGTTGAATTTTGTATAGGGTGAGATTTGGGGTTATAGTTTCATTCTTCTGCATATGGATAATGAGTTTTCCCATCATCATTTACTGAAAAGATTATCCTTTCCTCAGTAAGTATTCTTGGCACCTTTGTCAAAAAAAACAGTTGGCTATTGATAGGTGTATTAATTTCTGGGTTCTCTATTCTGTTTCATTGGTCTATGTGTCTGTTTTTATATCAGTACATGCTGTTTTTGTTACTATAGCTTATAGTATATTTTGAAGTCTGGTAGTGTAATACCTCCAACTTTGTTCTTTTTGTTGAGTATGACTTTGGCTATTTGGGGTCTTTTATGGTTCCATACAGATTTTAGGATTTTTTTCTATTATATTTCTGTGAAGAATGTCATTGGTATTTTGATGGGTGTTGCATTGAATCTGTAGATTGCTTTGGGTAGTATATTTCCAAGTATTTGAATACTACCTTTATATTAATGAGTTATTATTATCTTTGTGTCATTTCTTCCGCTTGTGGGTAGAATTTACCCTATCCACAAAATGTTCCCATTTCTTTCCAATTAAATTCCTACATGTAGTTCAGGGCCCTTTTGGATATTCTAACTTTTCATAATCCTCACTCAAAATTTTTTTCTCCTTCTACAATACTCTCATAGTATAATAATTTTAGCCAATATTTTATCATAACATTTAAAGGTTAGCCTTGTGTTTTATTTAGTTATGTATTAGATTAAGGGCAAAGACTACATTTTATTTTTATATCATTAGCACCCACAGAATGTCTGAGACACAGAATATAATCAATAACTGTTTATTACATTGAATGAAGGCTATAGACAAGGTTTAAGAAAATTGCAACTGTAGTAATCCCTAGGCCATTCTGTTGTGGTCTTAACTGAAGTCATGAAACTGGACTATACAACCCTGCATATGTCCTCTAGAATTTTATGATCTTATGAATATGTGATTTAGAAAAGTCTTCTGTGATATTCATGCTCAACTAAATTGAAAAATAGGTATTTCTATAGACATAGAGGAGAACAGTGAGTAGTACCAATGGGAACAGCAAAAGGAATAAATAATTGAACCTCAGGGAGTAATTTCAGTTACTTGAAGGGGAGGAGGAGGAAGATCTATCTAGAGTGTTTAGAAGAGACAGAAGACTTGTCACCCTCAATTAATCTTATCAGTAACTGAAAACATTTTTGTGAGAGTGTTTTTCTATGAAAAATATTCTGCCAGAGACTTTGGCTACCAAATTTGTATGTACTACTATATTATTATCATTTAGAAGAGGACCTTTCATATAGCTAGCCATTAACAGATAATAACTGAATAAAAATGAATAAATGATTGGATGAATGGCATAGCTTATAAGAACATTACAGTCAAGTCAAAAAGGCAGAAAACATACCTAAAAAGTAAAGAGCAGTAAAAAGTAGTACATAGTAAGTGCTTGGTATTATACTTTAGAGATTTAGAGTTTTAGAGGAGAAAGAAGTCAGAGCAAACATAACATTTGGAGAACTTGTTACTTATAGATGACACTTATGCTGTAGTACATAGAAAGAAAGGTGGGCGGGCAACCCTGGAAGAAAAGGCCACAGGGTCCTTGCCTGGTCATGGGAGACTGATGCTCAGATTGGCTATAAGGGGAGAAGGACGTGCAGTAAGGAGCCAGTTAGGAGAGTACCACATTAGTACATAATCCAGAAAACACAAACGGGCAAGGATATGTGTACAAAGATATTTATTGTGATACTATTTATAGCAATAAAAAACTAAAGACTATTAAATGTCTTTAGTTGGTATGTCTAACCATACCAAAGAGTATGGCTAAATAAGTTATGCTACATCCATAATATGGAAGGTGGTAGATCTATACATACTGACATGAAAAAATGTCCATGATAGTTTAAGTTAGAAAAGTTATTGTATAATATAGATTGCATGGTGCCAATTTTAGAAAGTAAATAATGATTTAAAATACCAAGTGTGCCTCTGAATATATGTATAACATATAGAAGATGGTCTGAAAACCTACACACAGAAAGATAATTCAGAATGGGACATGTTGAGATTTTAGAAAAGCTTATTCCTAGAGATATTGCTGTAGCCAGATTCTGTATCTTACCTGGGTCTAAGTGAGGGCTTCCTTAAAGTGCTTCTTCTGGAGGGGGGCAATTTCGTTTGTGAGGGTACGTGTTTCTTTGGCTCCTTGATAAATTCTAGTGAAAAATCTTTAAAAAATCATAAATATGGGGAAACACCATATTAGAAGGAATATAAAGGTACAAAGTGGCCAAGACATTTATCAGACATTAAGTTCATGTGGAAAAACTACTGTCCCTCTCAATAGATGCAGAAAAAGCATTTGACAAAATCCAACACAATTTTATGATAAAAACTCTTAAAACTAGGCATAGATGGGACATACTTTAAAATTATTAAGGTCATATACAATAAACTCACAACCAATATCATACTGAACTGGGAAAAGTTGAAAGCATTCCCATTTAGAACTAGAACCAGACAAGGTTGCCCACTATTTCTACTTCTTCTATTCAACATAGTGCTGGGATTCCTTGCCAGAGCAATCAGATAAGAGAGGACATGCGATACCTTTCACTATAGCATCAAAGAAAATTAAATATTTAGGAATATATTTAATGAAGGAGGTCAGAGATCTATATAGGGAGAACTACAAAACACTGAGAAAAGAAATCGCAGAAGGTGTAAACAGATGGAAAAACCTACTATGCTCATGGATTGGCAGAATCAATATTGCTAAAATGTCCATACTACCTAAAGTCATCTACAGAATTAATGCATTCCCTATCAAAATACTATCATCATTCTTTAAAGATCTAGAAAAAATAATTCTATACTTCGTATGGAACCAGAGAAGATCTCATATAGCCAAAGTGATCTTAAGCAAAAAGAACAAACTGGGAGACATCAGTCTACCAGACTTCAAGCTTTACTACAAGGCTATAGTAATCAAAACAGCACAGCACTAGTGCAAGAACAGAGATATAGACCTTTGGAACAGGACTGAGAACCCAGATATAAAACCACCCTCATATTGTCATCTAATCTTCAATAAAGCAGACAAAAAGATACATTGAGGAAAAGAATCTGTATTCAATAAATGGTGCTGGGAAAACTGGATATCCACATGCAGAAGATTGAAACTGGATCCCCACCTCTCACCTCTCACAAAAATCAACTCATGATGGGGTAATAGACTTAAACCTAAGGCATGAAACTGTAAGAATTCTAGAAGAAAATGTTGGGAAAACTATTATAGACATTGGCTTAGGGAAAGAATTTATGAAAATCCCCAAAGCAATCACAGTGGCAACAAAAATAAATGGGAACTGATCAAATTAAAAAGCTTCTGCACAGCCATGGAAACTATCATTAGAGTGAATAGACAACCTACAGAATGGGATAATATATTTGCATTCTACATATCCAATAAAGGGCTGATGACGAGAATCTATATGGAACTTAAGAAAATTAACAAGAAAAAATCAAACAACCCCATCAATAAATGGGCAAAGGACATGAAAAGGAACTTTTCAAAAGAAGACAGAACAATGGCCAGCAAACATATAAAAAAGTGCTCAACATCTCTAATCATTAGGGAAATGCAGATAAAAAACACAGTGAGATATCACCTAACTCCAGTGAGAATGCCTTTATCAAAAAGTCCCAAAACAATAAATTCTGGCATGGATATGGAGAGACTGGAACACTCTTACACTGCTGGTGGGACTGAAAATTAGTATAACCCCTGTGGAAAGTAATTTGGGGTATCTCAAAGAGCTAAAAATAGAAGTACCATTTGATGCAGCAATCCCAGTACTAGGCATCTACCCAAAGGAAAAAAAGACATTCTATAATAAAGACACCTGCACTCAAATGTTTATGGCAGCACAATTCACAATTGCAAAGATGTGGAAACAACCCAAGTGCCCATCAGTACATGAGTGGATTAATAAAAGGTGGTATATGTATACCATGGAGTGTTACTCAGCCATAAAAAATGACGAACTACCTCTTGTATTATCCTGGATGAAGCTGGAGCTCATTCTTCTAAGTGAAATATTATAAGAATGGAAAAACAAACACCACATGTACTCACCATCAAGTTGGTACTAATCCATCAAAACTTATGTGCACATGTGGAACACTCATCGGGTGTCGGGCAGGTGGGGGGAGGGAGGAGGGAATGGGTAAACTCACACCTAACGGGTTCAGTGTGCTCTGTCTGGGGGATGAGCATGCTTGTAGCTCTGACTTGGGCAGTGCAAAGACAATTTATATAACCAAAGCATTTGTACCTCTGTAATGTTCTGAAATTTAAAAAAACCGGTATGGAGATTTCTCAAAGTTTTCTATAAGTTAGTTGTTATTTTCAGGATATATATACTCTATCTCTCTTCAATTCCTACCATAAGTTAGGACCAAAAACAGCTCACATTGATGTGGGATGGACAACATATATAGTTACTGTGTTGCCCATTACTGCATTAACTGTCCTGCCCTCTGTCATAATATAATCCAATGGAACCTGAACCATCTAGATATTCTCCAGAACATTATTAATACATTGTCACACACTATCAACAATATTATATAAATTGTACAAGAAGAACAGGAATGCTAAGTATTTTGGAAGCCTTGGTAAGATGCATGTTCTCCAAAGGTAAATAAATTCTACCAACATTGAGGAGTCTACCATATCAGTAAAGATTTTAGAATGTAGTGATCTGGTGCATATGTGGACATCTGCTCCAAAATAAAAGACAAATATTACATCTTGCATCTCCCATGATTAAGAAGGAAGCATAACACCTGATAGAATTCTTTGTGTTCTAGAGACAGCATATTTCACATTTTAAAATACTTCTCTGTACCATATAAGGCTGTCAGCTTTTAGAAGCACCCAGAGTAGGAAAATATTCTTGCAGCAGTTCTAGGCTCTGGTGTTAATAGCCCAGCCATTTAGCCATACCATACAACAGATCCCATGCTCTTAGAAGTATCAGTAGTGTGATAGGTGATGTTTGGAGTTTATGGCAAACCTGAAAAGGAGATTTATGAAATGGATCCCTAAGGTTCTAGAATAAGGCCATGTCATCTGCAGCAGAAAACCACATTGTTCAAAAGTATTGAAGTACTAAGATGTGCTACTGAGCCATGATAAAGCCAGAGAGCCTGTCCATACAATATCAAGTGAGCATGCTACAGACCTGACCATCCTAAGCTGGGTTCCTCAAGACCACCAAGTCATAGGTGGCCCAACAGTAATCCATCATAAAATGGAAATGGCACATCTGGAATTAGGCACAAGCAGGGTCAGAAGGCACAGGAAACTGCCCAAGCAGGTAATCTGACACCCATGCCATCTACCACTGTGGCACTGCCGCTGCACTCTCATCACATGTGTGGCTGCTCACACTGATGGCCAGCTGACAGAAAAGGAGAAAGGCTGAACTTATTTCACGAGTGGACAGCTCAATATGTGTGTGAAAATTAAAAATACTAAAGCTCCTCTCAGTGGTGATTATGAAAGATAATGGTAAAGGCAAATCTCCCCTGATGGGTAGAACTTTGGGAGTGCACCTGTGCATTCACCGTGTGGAAGAGAAGTGGCCGGAAATAAGAATATACCCATACTCATGGGCAGTGGTGAATGGCCTGGCTTGTAAGCCAAGGGCTTGGAAGAAGAAATCTAGAGTACTAGGGACAAGAAGATCTGGGGAGACATACTTGGATGGATCTATGAAAGTAAGCATGAAGTGTGAAGATTTTGGTATTGTATCTTAAAGCTCACCAAAGAACAGCTACTATGAAAGAGGCATTAAACAACTGCAAACAAAATGACTGCCAGTTGATGCCAGCAAGTCTCTGTCATAAGCCACTATACTCAATGAGCTCATTGACAGAACATCTAGTTGGCAAGAATGGAGGCAAGGTATGGACCCAACAGCATGGGCCCCACACTCACCAAGACTGAGTTAGCTACCACGGCTGCCAAACATTCAACTTGTCAGCAACAGAAACAAATGCAGAGCACCACAATACATTAAGATCCCTAATAAAAAGACTTGGTGGCATATTGATTACACTGAATCCCTTCCACTCTGGAAGGGGTAGATATTCATCTTAACTAGAACTAATATGTATTCCTACCTGCAAGATCTTAGTCCATATCACTCTGGGGGCTTACGAGTATTTGATCCCTGAATGGGATCTCCATACCATTATCTTTGCTCAAGGGATACATTTATAGCTCAGGAGGTGTGGCAGTGGCCAATAGGTCCCACGATGGTGAGATCTACTGGTTCTATTACCACTGACAGCTGCTGGCTTGGTAGAGTGACGGAGCCACTTTTTGAAGGGATAGCTGTGAAACCAGCTTGGAGCTACCAGAATACTAGGGAAAAATGATACCTTGGAAAAATGGGGTATCATCCTCCAGGATAAGTTGAAGACCATTATGAAGCACTGTGTCCCCAGTAGTAGAATACATGGGCCTGGGAACCAAGGAATGAAAGCAAAAATGTTCCATTTACCATCAGTGTCAGTGACCAACTTAGGGAAATTTGTCATCCTCACAACTTTAAGTTCTGTAGGTCTAGACCAGGGCTGTCCAATAGAAATATAATGTGAGTCACATATATAAGTTTAAATTTTCTAGTAGTCACACTTAGAAAGCTAAAAGGAAAAGGGTGAAATTAATTTTAATTACATTTTATTTAACCCATATGTGCCAGTTACACTTCAAGTGCCCAATGGCCACATGGGCTAGTGCCTCCTGTATTAGATAGGATCCTGGTCCCAGAGGCAGAATGCCTCCACCAGGGGACACAGTGGGTGCTCAGTCACTTTAAGCTCCTTATGCCAAGAAGCCAACAGGCAAGCAGAGGAATCACTATATCAGTGGGGTAATTGACCTTAATCATCAGATCATGAGTTACATAGCAGGGGTTGTGGAAAATTTACTTGCCACTCACTTGCCAAAATCCTTGGCCCAATTTTGATGATAAATTGAGATGTGAAGCAGCCACACTCTGAAAGTCATGATGACCAGGGGCTCAGATAACCTCAGGGATGAGAGCATAGGTCATCCTGCCTGGTAAGCCCTCAAGACCAGCAGAGGTACTAGCTGAGCATAAGGGGAATCTAGGATGGGGACCAGAGGCGGGAGAAGTGGAATATTAGGGTCTCCAGATAAGGTGTAGTAATGTGGGCCAGCCTTTCTCGAATAAGTTGCCCAGGAAAAGAAACCAACCCAATTCCTGGAGGAGCTGCCCCAAGACGGGGTAAAACTTCTACACAAAGCAAGTAAACAGGAGTGTGTGCTACTGGGCGCTATCCAGACCCGCTCTTCAGGACCAAAGCACTCATTTCTCCAGCTTCCTGGAGTGTTGGCTGCTGGTAGCTCAAAGCTGAGGCCCTCTCTGGGAGTTGCCTCAGCCAAAGGAGACTGCCAGACCCAAGATCATATCTGCCCTAGGGGGCATCCCTTGGCTCACTGAGGGACAATGTGGAAGGGCCATCGAACTCCAGAGTCTCCCATGGGATCTGCTGAGGCCTGTTGTGACTGCTTCACAGTTAAGCATGCACATCTGCCCAATCTTCCCTCCCTCACTACCTTGTAGACGGCATTCCCCAGAACACTCCCTAACCAACATCCGTGCACAAGTCTCAGTCTCCAGGAAACTGAGCAGAAGATGAATCCACATTACTTAAAACCCAGCACTGTACAATGCATCCATGTAACACAAACATTTGTACTTCCTTAATATTTTGAAATTAAAGAAACCCAAGAGTGATAACTAGATAAGAAAGTAGAGATGAATAATCTTTAACCATCATCATCTTAATTCATTCATGATTGCATTTCATTTTCATGATGCCTTTCTGTGGCTCTCTAGGAGAAAAAAAGACAAAGTCTCTGTATTGTAAAGATGGCTATTAAAAAAAATACCAAAAAACCTCAAAAAAGACATAGTCATTACTCCTTAACCATCGCTCCATTTCACACAAAGCAAAATTCCTGTTTTGACTTATGCTTCTTGAGTTTAGAGATTCTCTCTTAGATTTGGAAAAACCCCGTTGCTTCAAATCTATCCCTGTGTTTAAATACTTGCCTACTGGGGGTGCTTTCTCACAATATGTTTTGTAGTCATCACTTATCTTCTCTATGGCCATCTTTGGATTCTTAAAGCAGAGTTCCGAAAAGGACATTTTGCTCATATCTGTGAAGTAAGGACCAACAGAGAGAGAGTCTAGTTGTCTGGGCTGGGTGTGGTGGCTCACATCTATAATCCCAGCTGCTCATGTCTAGTTGTCTACTCTGGGTTCAAAGATTAATATACCTTTTATCCACAATGACGACAGTGAAACAAAAAAACGAAGATAAAATATTATATAAAAAATTAAAATAAAAAGAATAAATTAAAAAAAATAAGATTAATATACCTTTGTTGAAGGTATTGCCTTTAAATGTTACTTAAGTAGGACAGTAGTGTTTTAATGGCATATTTCCATAAAGAATACAAGTTCCCTGAGCCAAATTATAAGCAAGGCAATATGGCCTCCTCTCCCCTCCAGAATGACAGGATTATGCCCTTCTTAGGGAAAACTGACCCATGGAGATTTTTTGCATGAGGAATGTTAGGGAAACAAAGATATGACTTGCAAGAGCTACTAATTGTTAATTCATATATAAGAAGCAACTCACACAAATGAATGCTGACCCCTTCAAAACAACCATCTGTTATGGGGAGAGTTGTAAATGTATTTCAAACATTCTACTATTGCTTCAAAGAATTTGATGTACCTAAGAATAATACAATGGCAAGTAATATGCTATGTCGTTTTCTCTTTCTTGGCTCTGCTTTGGGGATTAATTTCAGAATCAACAGCTTATATAACTGAATATCATCAATACTTGCAAATCATTGGCATTTGGGGATGGATTTTTTTTTCTAGAAACAGCCATATATCATTTTTAGTTATGTGTGATGAACTGAGAGGGAATATCTTTTTGTATCCAAACTGTGGTGGGTCCAATAAGGCTGAGCTAGTAAGAGAAGTTTTAGCTATGTTCTGGGCACTAGAAGCAGAGTAGCAGCACCTTGCCTCCTACCATGGTGAAGATATTCATTTGTGTTGTGAGTTCTGGATTTGGAGCATAACCAATTGCACAGAGTTCTCCCGGAACTCTCCAGGCGGTGCAGTACCTCCTGAAGGCGTACTGTTGGAGTCAAGGGGAAATGCTAGGCTGTGAACCCGTGAATGTCAATTACCCTTATGTAAGCATCATTGTCATCAGTGCCATTGGCATCATTGTCATCGTTACCATCATCATCATGATCGTTGTCACCGTCATCATCGTGTGTCAGGCAGGGGACTCTGGCCATCGGTGATAAGAGCACTGGATTGTTTCTGCAAAGGATCCAGGACCATCCTCCATGGAGAATCCCTGTCCCTCCCCTCAACACTGAGGCCTGAGTGGAAGCACCAGCCCACCTGGGAGTCAGGGCCCTGGGTTGGACAAATTCAAAGAAGGCCCTTTATCAGGCCAGACTTGTGCTCCAAAAAAGCCATGACAGAGGAAGTCATCATGTGTGTTGAGGGGAGGGACAGGGAGTCTCCATGGAGGATGGTTCACATTCTTCCTGGCTCCACCTGCCACTGCATGACCACCAAAAATCATGCCTGTCACCCAGTATGTGTATGGTGAAATTTAACAGCCACCCTGTCTTCTACTTTTGCCTTGATTTCCTTGGAAAGGTTCAAGAATGCTCAGGTTTGAGAGAGAAGGTGAAAAAGAGGGCCGGTTCATGCAAGATTTAAATAACTCATGCCCAAGCATGGCCCTGAGGGGTGAGCACCCAGGGCATCTTGTTTTTCATGTTAGGATACATGTTAAAGTTTTTTTAGTTGAGTGTTACAGTTTTTGGTGATCTAACAAGTACCATTTATTGAGCATGTGCTTTTTGTGTAAATACGTTACCTCTAATCCTCTCAACGTTATTGCAAAGTAGGGGCAGTAATCCCCATTCTATAGACAAAGAAATGAGGTTCAGAGAGATGCAGTAACTTGCCCAAGCTCATAAAGCAAGTGGTGAGTGGTACAACTGAGTTTTTAAAGTATTTGCTTACTCCTTCTCTTAGTGTTTTTCAAAGTGTAGGTCATGACGCATTAGTATTCCAGAAAATAAATTAATTGAGTCATTGTTAGCTTTTATAACATGAAATAGGATAGAATAGAGAGTGTTAGAGTATATCATCTTACGTAACAAGGGCAAGTATTGCTTTGTGAATTTTTTTCGAAATATATGTGCACACATATACACAGGCATATGTTTAAAGAATCATAAGGCCAAATGTATTTATTGTGGATTGAAGTTTGAAGAACAGGCAGTGCTCCAAATGCTTCAGTATAATTAAAGCATTGATCTATTTGGATGATAATGCTGACATTATACTATTGAACATTTACTATTGCCAAACATTGTGTTAATAGCTTTCGTACATGATCTCAGTTCACCTTTAGAGCAAGCCTGTTCTCATTACTATTTCAAGATGAGAAAAGTGTAGTTTAAAGAGAGGTTGAATATATTCTCAAATATACACAGTCAATAGTAGAGCAAGGATATAACCCCAGACTTCTGGGACTGCTAGCAGAGCCTTGTGCTTTGTGCTAATTACTTCTCTCCACTGCCTGGGTGGGCTGGTGTGTTACGTTAGGGAAGAGGATGGCTGTTAAAAATATATTCACGAAATGCCCTGGGCGATTCTGGGGATGTGGTGGAACATGCTTATCAGATGCACGAATGAAATATTTAGCATTAACTGTGGTGATGCTTGTCTGGCCAAATTGAGTCTTCTGGCTCCCTCATATCCAGCAGGGGCGCTGCAGTTAGTCTGTCTGCATTCCAGTCCACTCTGCTACATCCTGGGTGACCTCGGGAAGGTCACATCCTCTCTGTGCTCAGTTACTTAGTACTACCTAAAAGATGATTTGAAGATCAAAAAAAGTAATCTTTGCATGGCACTAGCTGATGCACAGTAAAATATCAGCAGATATTAATATTTCCCAGTTGCTTATATATACGGTCAAAAAAATTCCAGTGACTGCTCTTACCGACTAGAACACTGGAGACAACGCTCTACCTGAGAGACCCTCCTTGCTCAGGTCTTCGGTAGCTACTTTTGCCAGTGCATAGAATCCATTTCCTCCATGCTAGCCAAAGCCTGGCTTAACTCCAGAGATTCTGAACCTCTTATAAAGAAGGGCATTCCTTTGGTTATGGAGTCTCTTTTATGCCACTTGGCACTGACGAGCTGTGCTGAGTCTAAGAGGAAGGGAATGGGGGAAAGA